CCATCTTCTAAAGATGTATACTATCATAGTACAATCCTTGGTAAAGCAGTTTCACTACAATTTTACAGTTGATACTATCACTCAAATGTAATTACTAGCATAGTACTAGCCCTTAGTACAGCAGGCTCACTACAATATTAAAATTGTTTCTAGCACTCAAATATTAGTACCAGCATAGTATTAGCCTTAACACCTTAGTACAGCAGTTTAACTATAATTCTACAATTGATACTAGCATTATATTGTTAGTACTAGCATAGTACTAGCCTTGAAACATTAGTGCAGCAGTTGTACTATCATGCAAAAAATGATACTAGCATTAAAATGTTAGTACTAGCATAGTGCCAGCTTTGTAACCTTAGTACAGCAGTTGTTCTAGCATTTAAAAATTGGTATTAGGCTCAGGCACTTAGTGCTAGCATAGGTTCAGCCTTGACACCTCAGTACAGCAGGCTCACTACAATATTAAAATTGTTTCTAGCACTCAAATATTAGTACTAGCATAGTACTAGCCTTAACACCTTAGTACAGCAGTTTTACTATACTTCTACAATTGATACTAGCATTATAATGTTAGCACTAGCATAGTACTAGCTTCAATATCTTAGTCCAGCAGTTTAACTATACTTCTACAATTGATACTAGCATTATATTGTTAGTACTAGCATACTATTAGCCTTGAAACATTAGTGCAGCAGTTGTACCATCATACAAAAAATGATACTAGCATTAAAATGTTATTACTATGATACTACCAGCCTTGGAACAGTAGTACAGCAGTTGTACTATCATACAAAAAATGATACTAGCATTAAAATGTTATTACTATGATACTACTAGCCTTGAAACAGTAGTACAGCAACTGTGCTAGCATTTAAAAATGATACTAGGCTCAAACACTTAGTGCTAGCATAGATTCAGCCTTGACATCTTAGTACAGCTGGCTCACTACAATATCAAAATTATTTCTAGCATTCAAATATTAGTACTAGCATATACAAGCCTTGACACCTTAGTAGAGCAATTTTACTATAAGTTTAAAATTGATGCTAGCATTATAATGTTAGTACTAGCATAGTGCTAGTCTTGGCACCTAAGTGCAGCAATTGTACCCTAATTTAAAAACTGATTCTATGATTAAAATGTTAGTACTACCATAGTACTAGCCCTGTAACATTAGTACAGCAATTGTGCCAGCATTTAAGAATTAGTACTGGGCTCAGACACTTAGTGCTGGCACAGGTTCAGCCTTAGCACTCTGGCACAGCAGTTTTACTATAATTTAAAATTGATACTAGCATCATACTTAGTACAATTTATAAAGCTCTAGCTTTAGCTGAGAGATATGTTTTTCACAATTATTGAGTGTAATTGAGCCAAACTGATTGAAGAATTGCTTCTTCAATCTGTTATTCATGCCTTGACATAATTGATATCCAACTGCAATCAGAAAGATGTTCACTACTAGAATATCTGGTGCAGGTGAGTTGTAGTTAATTGCATGCAAAGTGGGGGGCTCAAGTAAGGCCTGCTTCGAATTCTCTATGACTTTGAGCTATGGTTTATCAAATTCAAATAAAACTCCTTTATACATGAGCTGAACCAATGAATGTGCTCATTTTGCAAAGTCCTTGATGAGAATTCTCATAATACTGATTGTGCTCAAGAATGCTCAGATCTCTGACACATCTTTGTACAGTTTTCAGTTTCTAACTGTTCAAACTCGAGACTTATCTAACAATCTTCCTTCTGGCATGCATCTATGTTCTACTATCATGATTTATTTCACATAGAGTTTTAGCTTTGTGCCTGAAAAGGTTCTGTTTGCATACTCCATATGCTATAAGTCCTTGGCCAGTTCCTCGCATATACATGATTGGTTGATTAGTTTAAATACCTATACTTGTCTATTCCACCTCGTCTTCATCTTCCAGATCCTGTTATTCTTCAGCTTCATCTTCTGACTCCTCTTCTCCTTGCTCTTCCTCCAATTCTTCTTCTTCCTGATCATCTGACTGATGCATTTTCTTTAGCCTGATTTCTGACATGTTCAACATTTCTTCTGTGATCGTGATCTGTTTTTGAGCTATGAAGAGTACCACCCTAAATGCTGCTACCAGTCAGTCCAACACTGCTTCATCTAACTTACATAGCACCTCTCCAATCGCAGTTGAGTATCAGCTATATCAAGGCGTGAATGACAGATTGAAAAAAAGTTCTTCAACCAGTTTGGCTCCATCATGCTCAACGATCATGAGAAGAGATTTTTGCAGCTAAAGCTGGAGTTGTACAGACTGTACCACATGCTCTGAGCACTCAAGGTCTATTTAATTGGTGTCCGCAACCTCATCATTGAAGTAGATGCAAAATATATCAAGGAAATGTTGCAGAAGCCTGACATTGCCCCCAGCGCAAGCATCAATCATTGAGTCATCACAATTTGATGTACCAATTCAAGCTAGTCCATATATCTGGAGTAATGCATGGACCAGACAGTTTATCGTATTGACCTAGACAGTCAGAGGATTCACTGCCAGAACCAATCAAGAATGTGGAATTTGACAAGTGGGTGGATCAGATGCACAGATTCATTCACCACATGCTTTCCCTATCACAACCTATGAATCCTACATTGACGACCGAGGACGGTCAATTTTTCAGAATGGGGGAGGAACCAGATGTATAAGCAACCTTCGCACTATCAGAGGACGGAACAGAGCAATCCGTAAAGCAAATTTCGATACCCTATGCCAACATTCCACGATTGGCAAGAGCCAGGAGAAATGATAAATTGATCTCTCAAATTATCGACTGGCTAGAGACACTGCGAAAGTCAAAAGACCTGATAGAAAAAGAGTACAATCATATGCTCGAGTACGCAGTTCATTTCTTCAAGTGGGACAGTCAGTTATGGAGAAAGGATGCTCAAGGGTCACACCAGCTAGTAGTCCTCCCCAAAAATTGTTTAAGGATTCTAGCCAGAGCACATGATGAGCTGGGTCATCGAGGCATCTTTCTAACTCAGGCAGTCATGTGTGAATGATTTTGATGGCCAAACATTGGTGCAGACATCGTGTGGTTCATCAGAACCTGTACATGTGAAATATACCAGAAATGACAAATTTATCAAATCCTGATCTCACCAACTGTTACAGTACCAGCTCTGATCTTTGCAAAGATATATATTGACACCATGCACATGCTGCCCTTGAACAGATTCAAATACATTGTGCAAGGATGGTGCTCACTTACACACTATCCTGAGTTTCAAATGCTCTGAGTGGAGACTGCAAAGGCACTTGGTGACTGGATTTTCTAAGATGTACTCTTTCGATGGGGAGTGCTGTCAGAAATTGTAACGGACAATGAAGCTCTATTTGTGAAAGCTGCAGCCTATCTGGAGAAAAAGTACCATGTCAAGCACATCTGGATTAGCGACTACAACTCATATGTGAATGGAATAGTTGTACATCTGCATTTTGACATACAGCAGGGACTATTCAAGGCAGCCAATGGTGAGGAATGCAAATGGAGTCAGGTAGCCCACTCAGTATTTCAGTCAGAGAGAGTAACAGTTCAATGATGAATGGGATGCTCACCCTATTTTGCAGTCACTGACACCCATCCAGTTTTATCACTCAATATCGTTGAAGCAACCTACCTGATCCTGGTGCTAGGTGAGATGTTAGCTACCATGGACCTAATTGCAAGCCAAGTGGAAGCATTGCAGAAGCATCGAGAACAAGTCACACATATTCATAACACTGTCTACAAAGCTAGAAGAGCAGCTGCAAGATGATTTGAATGAACACACAGATGGACAATCAAAGACTTCGACTTCAAATGTGGAGACTTGATACTAGTGCAACATACTTAAATTGAGAAGGCACTTAATTGAAGGATGTGATCACACTACATAGGACTGTACTTTGTGTTGTTTCACAATCAGGGAGAAGCGTACGTGCTCTTTGAGCTAGATGGAGCAGTCTTGGATAGACCAGTAGTGGCATTCTGAGTGGTGCTTTTTGTGGCAAGAAAGAAGATCACTATATCTGAAGAAATCCTGGATGTGTCGAAAGCCTGACTCAAAGAAATGTGGCAAGATGAAGATCAAGAAGAAGAAGAATCCAAGGTGGACAGCAATGGAGAAGAATTGGAGAATGAAGAGGAAGGGCAGCAGGAAGGAGAATCTGATGATGACAAAAAATAGACTCAAAGACAGGATCAACAAAAATGGCATATATAGCTTTCAAGATAATTCTTCTACCGATGCAAGAAAAGCCAGCTCAGCCTATCAACAACAGCCTTTTGGAATTTTCATCTTTTGCTTATTCAAGTCACACCAATGGTCTCAAGTATGCAATATATATATATATTACACAACAAAAAGAGAAGTACATTGCTCTGCATGCATGGAGGAAGGAGCACACTAGATATAGCAAGACAAAAACATGCTGTGGCTGAGCCCTAGAGCATTTTCCCATGAAAACCCACCATGAAGACTTTCGACAGTCAACTACTTGCATTCGAGAAAGTTGTGATTGTCCTTGGCCATCTTCTGTGAACTCTGGAGCAGAAGCTCAAACTGTGACATGGTTAAGGAGAGCCACATATGCAGCTCATCATGCTTGACAGTGACAGTAGCCAGGGATGTATCAGCAGTGGCTGGCTTTGATGAGGACATGGCTGCAGAGCCCTTCACACATTTCTTAGTCAAAATAGTGGCCTCAGGAGTTTCTGACAGTACTTGGAAGTGCTCAACCTCAGGCTCTGAGTCATCAATGTGAGCCTGTATAAATGAGCGTGTGATGACGAGATCTGTTGAGACAGTAAGAGTCAGCAAACGGCAATGATGAGAGATGGAAAGGGATACTTATCAAAGCAACATGGTGAAATTTTCAATGTATGGCCAGGCATGTCAGGCTCGTTCTTGGTTGACTCCTCAAGCTCTTTCTTGAGCTTGGTGGTGGTGGCAGTGGCTTTCTCTTTGGCCAAGATGATCAGCACCAATTCTTGGAGAAGGAGACATCAGTAAAGGATACACTAAAAATGAGGCAGAAGAGGGACATACAAAGGTGAGGGAGCGTGACAGGCATTCCTCGTACTTGCCAACAGGAGTGTCCTGGGAAAGGTCGAGTTGTTTAGCAAAGGCAGCACCCTCATGGTTGACCTTGTACTGCTTCCTGTCATAGGTGAGCTGAAAGGAGGCCACCTTGATAGCCACCTTCTTATCAGTGGCAGGAGGAAGAGGCCAGTGACACTGGTGGTAGATTGCATCAAGCTCAATCCAGCTGGAGTTGTTGTCCAGATTGAAGGCCATTGTACGTGACCACCAGATGCATGCTTTATGATTATGGTGACATTTGCAGCATATAGGCTCAAACTCGCTGAGAATACAGGTGTGAGTCACCTTCTCAGACTCTAGGCAATGGCGACACTATGATATGATGTCGGTCAGCAAGGCATGGAACAATGGATGGGTGAGGCTTACCAGACAGGTGATGGTGGGCTTGCACCATGCAGGCATGTACTCTGGAGACAGGGAGCAATCGTGGAAAGTTCATACCAGAAGATGCATATGTGGGTCAAGTAAAGCCTTGAGAGACTTGGACTGGTGGCCTCGTCCTTTCTTCAAGGCAGCCTCAGCAGATGTCATAGGAGAAGGCTCATCTGTGGAGGCCTTCTCATCATCGGCCAGCTCATCCTGGTTGGAGCTGTGAACAGACACAGTGTCTTTGGGCTCTCCTTCAGCATTGACATCCATGGCCAGAGTGCCAGGCACACTAGGTAAGAATAAGGGATTGTCTTGACTAGGCCTGAACTATGAGGAGGATGACATTAGCATCTTCAAAGATGGGGCCTCAGTGCCCATGGACAAGAAACTTCATGTCACAACAATCAACCGTGAGGTCCTCCACGCACCTCATCAGAAGAAAATTGCATGTGCTTAGGTGAGCCTGAGGATTATCAGTGAGCTCACCTCAGTCTGCAGCACTGACAATCTCAGTCATCTTGGCATGCAGCTCACCAGGAGAGTGCAGAGGTCTCGCCTTGGCAGATGCCATGTGGAAGGCAGCAAGATCAGTATACACTATTGTGAAAGCAAGCCATGGGTTGAATTCTGAGCGGGAATGGAACATGAGCCAGTCAGCCATACTGATCATGATACTGAGGACCAGAGTAGCAACCGGAGGGAAGCAAACATGAAGCTCAGTCTATCAGGGAGATCAGTCACATGCCATCCTCACATGGGTCCCTGACTTACTGAAGTTAGCACAAAGATGTCAACCCAGTTGTGCCACACCTGCTCGAGAGTGTTAAGCATGGGTGCATCCATGATAAGGTTGTCCAGCATGTTCAGCCACTCTTTGGCCTGGGTAGCAGATCCTTAAAGTAAGAAGAAAAGATGCTGGGAGGAGGAGAGGAAGACATGGTGACAGGCTTGAATGCAGACGAATGGCAGGAGCAAGCGAGCTAGATATACAAACACTACAGACTGGAGACAGTCCAGATTTCAGAATAGGGGAGATGATATGCACCAGAAAGCTCTGTGCTTGGAAGCCCATCTGAAAGAGCAACTGAAAACTGCGTAACTCGATAACACATATTTGTCAAGCGGAATACTCCATACAGAATGGCACAAGGACCTCTGACTCTGAAGAAACTGTGGAAGCAGTAAAATATCAAGAAGGGTCACACATGAGGCTTGAAGATGAGCCAGGACCTGCACGCTAGCACTGCTGATTATGAGAACAAAGGAGAAGAGGCAGAGCAGAATGATTTTGGCAAAATTGGAATGAGAGTGCACTCTAAGCAAAGGAAGCACAGGGCAGCAGACTGCTGGATCCTTGAGGGCCCATATCTTCTGGTTCCTCAACTGCAAGCGATGATGAGGAGAAGGTGGAGAATGTCTTGGGACTGTTTCAGAGGATCAGAAACATCGACAAGGATCAGAAACATCTTCTACTACACTAGAAGACATCATTCTACACCTATATAATGGCTTGTGTACCTAGCACTAAAACAAATAAAGAGTTCACCTCTCAGTTCTCAGTTTTACATTGTCTTCACAATAGGGTGGCATGCCCTATTCAGTTCTCCTAGTCTATGCTCAATATCGATGCTTCATTAGCTCTCAACACTGGCTAGGGCAGCACTCTCTCTAGTGGCCCACAGCATGACTCGGAAAGCACCCAGATAAGTCATGTTATTACATTCCATATACATACTCATGCCACCTCATTTTCTCTCTCACGCCACCAGTCACGAGCTCTAACAACTCAGATTTCTATCTCCATCGAACTTCGTAGCTTCAGCAAGCACCCAGACCTCATCTGTAGTGCTGAGGAGAGCTGCCTATAGTGCTCAAAGTCACCAGCTTACTCAGGCAAAGACCCATGTCACCGCTTGATTCTAGCACCTCTACACCTGCTCATCTGAGTCTCACTCTACCTACCTGATTCATTCACATGATCCACACATCTCTCGACTTATTCAGAGTCGAGGATACTACCCTAGTCTTAATCATCACTCACTGCTCTGTTTCAAGTACATCGCCAAACAACTTACAGCCACCCCTCAAAGCATTATTAGCCAAAGTTCCTGCGACTGTGGCCCAAGGTAAATGGAGATGGACAGCTCCGATCTGCATTCCTCGAGAGAATAAAAGGTAGCTAACAGCCAGGACATGGTTGAGCATATTAATGGAAACTTGCTATATCTGGAGAGAGCTGGCTAAGCACCAACAATAAGGCCCTAACTGCCTCTGAACTGGCTCAAGCACCGATGAGGAAACTCTGAGTGCTTCTGACTAGGTCGAGCACTGACGATGGACTCCTGAGTGTCTAGCTACTACTCTCCCAGCACTACAGACCAGGTCTGGGCACTAGTGAGGCTATAAGATCTGATGAGGATGGAACCCTGGTTCGAGACTCATGACAGGTGGTGTGAGACCGAAATGCAATGGCGTGAGATACAAAAGTGCAATAATGTGACTTAGCTAGCTAAAACCTGAGTTAAGCTAGAGGCCACTACTGAGAGTGCTGTCCCTCTTGGTGTCGAGAGTCCTAGAAATTGTAGACCTTGATTGCAATTGGCATAGATGTAGTCGGGCACAATGCCCTAGCATAGATGACATGAGAACTGAGTGCTCCTTGATGGGGGAAACTCTCATTGTTATAGATTTTATGTATATGGTAGACTATATAGTGGGTTGAAATTTTGAGCACAAAGCTATCCAGTGCATATCATCATTCTTGCTAGAGCATTGTGCTCGACTATGTCTACACCAGTTGTGACTAAGTTCTACATCTGTCATGGCACGCCGATGACTAAGATAGACAACTCAAAAGTTCCAGCCCTTAGAGAATCTTGGGATGGGAGCTCAAATGTGCCAGACAGTAATAGCCACAAGTCAAAGGACTTTGGCAAGTATGATGAGCTGATGATGAGTGCACAGACTGATTGTTGACCAAGTACTTACTGGTGTAGTCGAGGTCGAGTGCAGGCACAGATACTACTGCTAAAATGGCTGGTTAGGTCTGAGTGTATTGTCATGGTGGATGAAGAAGAATAAGACTGAGGTCTGTCTTCTGTCCACCCTGGTCCTTATATACATGATTGCTATGCTATTGTACAGTAGTTATCTAAGTGAGTCACACACTGTCTACTGGTCCATTCTGCAATCATACAACTTGTCCTAAATGCCGTGATTGGCTGTCTAAATATAACTGGTCTATACAAGGCTTCAGCTGAGCATGCAATATGGTGACATGGTGATTGCATCATATTGTGTTAGTGCACATTGTGCCACTTGATCCACTAACTACATGTCTTTGTGTCAGCACCGAGCAGTCTGGTGATCATGTGCTTTGGCCAAGAACTACACAAGATCATTCAACAACATCTCTAGGACTCTTGACACTGAGCGAGGTAACACTCCTTAATAGTGACCTCTAGCTCAACTCAGAATTTGCATCACTAAGTCACATTATCGTGTTTTCGTATCTCATCATCATTTTACCTCACTCTCACACCACATATCATGTGACTAGAACCAGAATTCAGTTTTTGTCAGATCTCATAGCCTCAGTAGTGCCCAGACCTGGTCTGTAGTGCTGAAGAGTAGCAGTTAGCCATCCAGGGATAGCAGGAAGTTCTCAGAGCTTCATTATCAATGCTCGTTCCAGTTGGAAGATGCTCGAAGCCTTGTCATCAGTGCTTAGCCAGTATATTTCAAATATAGCAAGTCCTCATCATAGCCTAAGTCTCAGCCACATTAGCACTCACAGATTCAAGTCACCAATCACATTCCAACACACACATCTCCACCCTCTAGCTTTCGACTTCATCAAAGTTGAAGGCATCACCATAGTCACACTTGTCACTCATCGATCTGTTGCAAGCATCTGTTTTAAGTATCAAAGCTGAATAACTCATGGTGATATGCATGTATGCCACCTCCCTATGGTCTGTGGTCTTGCAGTACTGATCACTTTGTTGCAGAGTGAGGTGAGTATGAACCGCTCTGCTCTGTCTCTGATGGGCATGATGGTACAGGGAGATGACTCTCTCTTGAAGGGTGTGAGGCTCACAGGTTTCTTGCAATAGTTTCTGTGATGTGAAGGTTGTGGGTAGTGTGTGGGGATGTGGTAACGGAAGTGCCATTAAATGGATGCGACCGATGGGTGCATTTCAGAAGGTTCCATTTAGCTGACTGACCTGATGGCTAGACTGACAACATGTTTGCTCTGTCCACATGCATGGTGCTGCTTTAGAGGATGGCTATCCCAGGTTATGTCAGCTGAGTGCTTCAAATTGATTACAGGTGGCGTACAGTGCTAACGAATTGATCGCAGATGTGGCTGAGTGGCTGAAGTTTGATCGCAAATGCTGTCTTTGAGCATCAAACTGATGTCCATGAGAGAAAATGCCCTGACTGAGTGTTTTTCGACCTATACTCAAAACTCCGTGGAGCTCGTCTGCTTGGTATGATGTCAGTGGCAACAGTTGAGGCAGCCATGTTTGATGTGGGAAGCCAATTTTCAGGAACTAGAGAAGTCGAAGGGGACACCTGCACTTGTGAGATCAGCTCAGTCTTCTTCACAAATCAGAAGAGCAGACATGTGGTTGCTCATGTTGTCACTCATATTATTGTCTTCTGAAAAGGTGCTTTCTTCAAGCTGCCCACTGATGATGCTGATTGTACCTGGAGGGAATTTTCGGGCATATGGAGGTCTGCAACTGAGTTGTAAATTTATTAAATGCCATGAATGAGAGGCACTGCAGCTGAGCCCCTGAGAGGTGGTTAGCATGGTGGCTCATGAGTGAGGAGGGCTGAGGCTCAGCTTCCAGCCAACTGGCAAACTAGTTCATGAATGAGGAGGACCGCAGCCCAGCTCTCGGGGGTGAGCTAATAAATTTTCTGTGAGCGAGGAGGACTGAGGCTCAGATTCTGACCAGGATCATCATCAAGAGAATGAGATAAGAGAAGAGCCACATTCTTGCTGGAGGGGTAAGGCATTGTGGGTAAATTAGCTGGAGAAGGTCCATCATCAATAAACTAGATAGTAAATTTGTCACTGCAGGTTCGAGAGGGTTGTCCATCTTCATTTGAAGCTTTCTGGCTATCCATGGCAGCTTCAGGATTATTTTGAGGTCTTCAGTTTCTCCAGCATGTGCATTTTCCCCAATTTGGAATAGGTCAAGTCGAATAGTTGCCCATTGGTACAAAAACACTAAGATTGTGTGACCATGTATCTGTGTTGGGCCTTCAGCGAAAGCATTCATATGAGCAGCAAAGTATCATATTTACGTTCATGACCATTAAGAAATGCAACCCGCCTTCTCTACTTGATGAGCTCTATTTCTGGCCCCAGCTCAGCCTGAATCTCAGCATCCTGTTCTGATTGAATGAAGTCTTGCACCTTGACCAAGCCTTCACGTATAATCTTCTCATGATATTGGCAGAACTTTCGTACAGTGGGAATGATGTGATTTTCTGATATTCATTTATAGCAGCTTGAGCATTTTTCATGTATTATTGCTTGATGGGCATGTGATGGTACTTGTCCCACTGCTGGATATAGAGATGCTAATAAAATTGAGAGAACAAATGATTTTTGAGTTTATCTTCAATGTCGAGGAAATAGATCGGTCTTTCTTCATTGACTTAATGAAGAAAGAATAGCCAAAGAGTGTGCCAACCACATAACATGGATATGCTTCACCATATCTCAAAACTTCATCACAGCCACACCAAACAGAATGTTCCCCATGAAAATTGGAGCAGATGCCAGTTCTCCCGGAAACTGATTTCCATAAACATCCACCCCCCAGCTACGCATACATCCCTGTCCAGCCAACTTCTGTCTTCCAGATGCAAAGATTCGATGGCAGAAAACTGATTTATGGGCAAGTTGTGTAGAAACAATATGCCAGCAATTTCATCCTTTGAGGACCACTCATCCTCCAAGACTTCTTCTGCGTATAATTCACCCAGCTCCGTGCTTAACACTTGTCATGGTGGAGAAAGGATATGTAGTCTGACTCAGCTGCTGGAGATGTGGGGTGCTCAGGTGTTGGTGTCGGCAGGACAGTCAGCTGTGATTCAGGGCTCAGAGCATTGCTAGCAGCACGTGAGTGAGATTGTGGGGGTGATCTGCTAAAGACTGATGAATGCACAGTGATATAAGTACGTATGCTGCAGGTGGTCCATGAGGGCAATGGGGGAGTGAGTCTGTGGTAGGTTGACATTACGTCGACCGTGATTGAATATGCAACCGTGCAGAATGGTGAAGCTGTGCGAGTGGACATTCATCCCACTCAAAACAGTGGAAAAGTTGAAACGGACGAGATGCAAGTGAACGTTTCCTCGGAGAAATGCCAACAGGTGAGAGAGAAAGTGAGAGGAAAGGGACATGAGGAGTCAGCTCTTTGTAGTGCTATCTGGTGAAACTGAACCAAGAGATGGAGGCATGGCTGGCAGAGATGACTGATGGTAGTCACAATGGCTCTTAGGCATTGGTCCTGGGTGAGTGGACGAGGAACTCCACGTTGTCCTGAGCGTGATGCCGACTCTTTCAACTTCCTTGTCATAGTTAAACCCTTCTTTGTTTTGATTGATAGACATCTTCCCAGTATCATGCTCATAAGTCATCTCTGCTTAATCAATAGAGGCCATACAAATTGCTCACTGAGTCTTGCTCAGCCTCTTCTTACTCCTTCATTATACCTGTGATCTCCCTCTGCACCCACTCCAGCTCCAGCTTCACCTTGACCCAATCAGTTTCCCGATCTGCTTCTTCATTGTACTAAGGCGGTCTCTCTGAAGCACTGCTTCCTTCTTCACCTTTACAATTTCAATTTCAGAATATCAACCTGCAGGTTGACTGCAGTCATTTCCTGTCGAAGTTCACAAAACTCTTTCTCTCCACACAAGAGTTCATCGTCAATATTGGCCTTCTGCATATGTAATGCTGAAAGCTGCAACATATGCTGCACCCGGATCGCCATCACCACTGCTGCCACACCCAAGCCCACACTAACTAATATCGCAAGATATAGTGTGGACTTACTTTTGAAAGGCTCAGCTGTTGTTGGCGAAGGTGGGACAGATGGAAGAGACATATTGCTTGCCCGGTTTGCAGTGACCAGCTGTCCTTGCCACCAGTAGACAAAGTAGCCAATGTCAAATCTGAACACAGGGAATGATCTGGCACATTCCCTTTTCCACATGTAATCTGTGTAAAATGACCATGCTGCAGCGTTAGGGTGGAGGAAAGAGGCAACTGTATAGATGTTGGGTGTGGAGGTTGCTCCCTAGATAGATGCATGGGTGTAGGACATGCTCTGGAACTGGGTTTGTGACTACTGGTGTAGATGAACTCGGCACGCTCTCAGTGGCCTTCTCTGGCTCCGCCTGAGGCTTCTGCTGTTCGGGTGCCCTCTCAGACTGTGCTGGCTTTGCAGCTGATCCTGCTGGTTGCCTCAGTGGCATGTATACTCCATCGAAGACTGATCTCGATTGCTTTAGATTGAACAACTCTTGTTCTAATGCTTTGATTCTGTCTTCTGCTCCTAGCAAGAATGAGCTGGCTTTGTCTTCCGAGACCTCAAATAGATTCGCTGTTGAGACTGATGCCATGACTGGGGTCTGATTGCATCTGTGCCACTCGTGAATCTGATCACGAATCGTGATGCCTGGAATTGTGTGAGGGATGAATGTGCCATTTGGAAGGACAACTTTTTCAGCTGCATTTCATATGCACTTGCTGCTCTTTATGTCCTCCTCGATGTGCTTGCATGTTTCGATCATGCCTCTGGCTTCTCTGCAATAGTGGCAAAATCTGCTTGGATTTCCATTTGCAACTGGTGGTCTACTCGCAGTCGCAATCTGAATCTCATTTTGCTTTGCAACTCCTCCAGTCACAGCTGCTGTGAGCATTTGAATGGACTTGACCAAGCTCTCTATAAGCAAGGATATATCCTCACTTTTAATCGTCGATGCACTGCTAGTCAAAGTAGTTACATGCAACTTTACTGTGGTCGGCCCTGCACTAGTGCCGTGCAACACAAACTTTGCTGCTTCGTAGACATCATTTACCGAGTAGGGATCATCTGGATAATGATCTGGCTGCTTCAACTGTAGGCGCTGCAAAATCCAATTTCATAGCTTGGGCAGAAACTCTCGAACGAATGCGCGATTGTGTTCTGACTCTGAAATGCGAGTCTTGCCAATAAGAAATGAGGTGATGGCTAGGAACTCTCGATGATAGTTCTCTAGTTCTGCGATGGTCTGAATTCCCAGTCAGGCTCGCTCTCCAACTAAGAAATCCATGTCTCGAACTTCCCACTTGTGCTCTGTATCTGCACCTGGATACAGCTCCTGGATGGCTTGTCGCAAATCGACATAGGTCTTTGTTCAATCAGAATATTCTGGCAGTGACTCAGTGAGGTCAGCAACATCTATATTGAGATAGTGTTTCACCCATAGCTTCTTTTCCATTTCATTCGTCACTTGGCAATGCATGAATAGGATTTCTAGGTCATCGAAGAAGCGAAAGAGTGTTCTTGGCTGATTGAGATCGAATGTGGGTGCCGATCGATCACCACAAAATGGCATCTGATTGGTTATTATGGTTTCCATCACAACTGTGGCTGTGGTGGCCAGTAGATTAAGTGTTTGAGAGGGGTTCTCGACTGGATTCGATGCTTGTTCAGCTGCAAAAGCTGCCTCTAGCTCATCTAGAAGGGTCCTAAGTGGAACTTCTTGTGACGAAGCCTCAGAGATGTTTTCCGACTGGGCTTCTACTGTTGAAGACTCAAACAAGTGGTGCAATAGCGGGGTAAGTGAACTAAGTGGACTGGGGGTTCTAGAAGCTGGTGATGTCAATTGCGAAGCTGAGAAACGTGTTTCGAATGACAGAAATGGTCAAAAATCAGCTAGGTGTGGTCGGCCTTCTTCTGCTTGCTCGAATCTGGCCCCCTGAAACTCATGAAGTCGCCTAAGCCTCTGGTTGAATGATGAGAAGACTTCTTCATCTGATGTTTCACCTATTGTGATAATTTTGATCTTGCTTCAAGGGTGTACTGAACTACCTCTTTGGTTTCCGATCATAAGGCTGACGACTCAGTGCTGTGGAAATTTAAATTCTCTCCACCCCTCATGGTGGGCTTCAGAAATGATATGCTCAACCGTGTCCTGGCTATGAGCAGTGCTCCTAATAAAACCCCTACTGGTGGAAGGTGAACTGGGGCTCTTGTCCATCTGCGGTCCCTTTGGGCTATGGTCACAGGAAACTTCAGATGATAATGCAGTGATGGGCGGTTGCGAGTCATTCAGCTGTGATGCTTGAAACAGATCAGATTGTCATGACTTCTGGATCAGTGAGTGTCAGACTCGACTATGGAGACCTCCGACCAGGAAACAGTCAAAAGCTGGAATGCGGGGGTGTGTGGGTGTAGAATGCAATTGGTGACTTCCATACTCGTGAACTGTGATGGCTGAAGGTCTGGGCTGTGGCACGAGGACCTGCTATATCTGAAAAGCACTGGTGAAGCGCTGATGATGAGGCTCTAATTGCCTCTGAACTGGCTCAAGCACTGATGAGCAACCCCTAACTGCCTCTGAACTGGGTGAAGCACCGATGACGAAGCCCTAATAGTCTCCGAACTGGGATAAGTGCCAATGACGAAGCCCTGAGCACTTCTGACTGGAATGAGCACCGACAATGAACTCCTGGGTGCTAGCGAGGCTACGGGGTCTCATGGAGATGGAATTCTGGTTTGAGACTCATGACTGGTGGTGTGCAAGTGAAATGCGATGGCGTGAGATATGAGAATGCGATAACGTGACTTATCTGGCTGAAACCCGAGTCAAGCTAGAGGCCACTGCTGAGAGTGCTGCCTCTCTCAGTGTCGAGAATCCCAGAGACATAAAATGTGATCGCAATAGACATAGACGTGGTCAGGCACGATGACCTAGCATAGACGAGATGAGAACTGAGTGCTGCTGGGTAAGGAAACTCTGAGTAAAACTTCTTGTTTTTCCTATGTACAATGTAGATTATATAGTGGGTCAGAAATGAGTTGCTGAAACGTGTTTCTGATCATACATTATGTTTCTGATCCATTAAAACCTGTCGTAAAGCTTGCTTCTGCTTCCTCTCCATATCATACAGTCAGAAAACTGAAAGTCTGGCCCTGCCAGGGTTCGTCGGTCCGCTACCCTGTCTTCCATTCAGTTAGCGCACTTGCTCGTTTCTGAGTTGCCTAACTGGTCCTGTTCCGCTTCTCGCACTGCACCTCATAATCGACCACGCTTTCTTGTGGCTCGCTCATCATTTCTGCACCTCATGTTCACCTTTTGACCCCTTCACATGATTCCGTGTTCCCAGGCTGTCAGTAAAGTCTTCTTTGCCCACTCTGGACTGTTTCAGCTCAGTGTTTGTCTTTCTAAATCATGGTGACCCGCTATCCAATTGTGCGATAGTTGAACGCAGTTTCTGACGTTTTCCGATCGCAGAATATCTCGGTGTGTATCAGCGGGTTCAAATTTCGCATTGTATGACCATTACAAAAGATAACAAAACATAACACAGTCACAAACTTTTGAAGGAACCATTGAATACAATGTTTGGAACCACTTTGAAGTCATTGGATACAATGGTTTGAACCGCTTTCAAGTCATTGAATACAATGGTCTGAACCACTTTCAAGCCATTGAATACAATGGTTTGAATTGCTTTCAAGCCATTGAATACAATGGTTTGAATGGCTTTGAAGCCATCAGCCCTTAAGGCATTAACCCTAGCAAACTCAGTGCTGTGATTGGCTCTATATATTTGCACCTGTTTAGATCAGCCGTGTCATGCATGTTCAAACTCTGGTTTGTATGCCCATTACAAAAGATAACAAATCTGAGTAAGAACAAAATGTAACACAGTAAGAAACTTTTGAAGGAAGGGCCTTTTCCTAACCTCAGGATAGGGGCAAAAAATGAAACCACTTTGTAATGGTCCACTCTGCCATGCTTTGCTTAACTGTCTCACAGATATCAAAAAAGAAGCCCTAAGTGCCCAGTGTCACACAAACTCTTCTTCGTAGCTCAAAAATTATAATTATGATGTGTCGTGCATCACCGGACAGCCCATTACTATGGTAAATGCCTGAAATGACTTCTAGAAGCTGAGTGTCCATCTGAAACATGTCCCACAATTCTTAAACATGTCAGAAGATATGCTTCACTTCATGCCTAAACATTCTTCCTGCTCTTGGTGTTTCATTCCACCGAATGCTACGTCCATTCATTTCTGCTTCTCTGATTCTTCTAGGCCTGAGGTCCTGCCTGACCACTGACTGAGTTCGTTGGCCTTGAGTGTGCCTTCTGGACTTCTAAGATGAACCTTCCATTGTCTCATGTCGAACGTGTTCTGCGTTGTCAGTGGTGATGATTATGAGTGGGAAGTAAAGGCCATTTTTGTCTGAGATTCACGCTCAGCTGCTGCCAGCTCTCATCACCGACCACCTGTTGCTGCATTATTATCCAAAGTTACCTGTGACCATAGTCCAAGAAGACTGCAGATGAAGAGCTCTGGTCTGCCTCTCAGTTAGTTAGAAGAGCTGCTCACTGTCAGGATGCAGTTGAGCATATCACTAAATACAGTTTGATACACATTCTATGTCATCTCATAATTATTTGAACATCATTATTAAGAGTAGCCTGCTGTCTCACAAAATAAACTGTATATTTTTAAGTGTGACATAATGTAATAAATGAAGGGTGAAAAGGTGATATAGTCATAGGCACTGACATGCAGTGCCCTCAACTGCATTATCTTTTTAAGCATTCAACCCCTCCGCCCACAGCATTTTCTAATTAATAAATATCTCATATGATGCAGTCAGTTCACAAAGCAAAAAAAAACTATTTTTAACAATTTTAAGTGCTTTTGTGAGCTTTTTTTCATCCACAGTTGATGGTCTTAAATAGAGAGTCATAAAGTTTCAACGCCGTGTTTCACTCATCACCACTATGTCATGTCACTCACTCACAATTGAAGTCAATCAGAATTTCATCTCCACTGAACTTCATAGCCCTCAGTAACATTGAATAACTTTAGAGTGTATGAGGTTTCAAGCTTTAAACTGAAAGCCCTTACATGAGGAAAAAGAGATAACTGAGAAATCTTCAGACAAATATAAATCTTATTTCAAATAATAGAATGGTATCTAACTGTTTCAATATTGGCCTCATCACTGCAAAAAATCACCATTTCAGAAAAATGCATGAGATAGTCACTTAAAGATGCCAAGATTCTTATATCCTTCTTGCACATTGAAAAGGCATATAAAAATTCACCTTTCCCTGACATTCACCTCCTGCATAACATCAACTTCAGTGGCTTTGAATTTCTATAAAATGCTAAAAACTTGACAGTACTTCTCAGGAATAGAAGGTATATCATTTCAAGTTCTCAAAATGCTGAGAAAACTCATTTCAATTTTCTGACATTGCAAAGGAAATATCAATTCTTGTTTCATAAAAGATATTAATATCTATTTGAATAATACAGCTTTCTAATCAAGTGAATAATGTTAAAAAAAGACTTGAGAAAGGCTCATTTTGCACCTTTTCTGAGCACCAATTTATATCAGACTGCTTTTATTGATGTATAAATAATAGGATACTGTTCAGGGAAAAGTTAGAGAAAATTGACAGATTTTTATACCTTTCTTACTATAGAAATTGGCACTTCCTTTGCAGTGTCAGAAAATTGAAATGAGTTTTCTCAGCATTCTCAGAATTTGAAATGTATCTTTTCTAACCCTGAAAAGTGCTGCCAACTTTCTGGCATTTAATAGAAATTCTAGGAGCCACTGAAGTTTATGTCATGCAGGAGGTGAATGTTTAAAAAAGAAAATGTTAGAATCTTGACATTTTTGAGCAACTATCTCATAATCATGCATTTTTCACTTTGTGAAATGATGATTCGTTTGCAATGCACTGATGGCTTATATAAGCCTTAAGTTCATTATATAACAAATTTTATCACAACAATGACATTTGTTTTCATTCTTTTGTCATTGTATCATTTCAATCATACTATTTTACAGTGATGTTAACCTTACAAGCCTTTAAATTTACAACTCTTTTATGCTCTACTCCACTGACAATGTTTCCCAAATCTGAATGTAGTTGTCTGAATTCTGTACACCTGTGCCTGCTGCAATGACATATGTATCATCTGTACTAGAGTAAAATGCCTAGTTATATTATCAGAATTTCAGCCCCTTGAGTTGAATATAGCACATACTGCAAGAGCTTGAACAAGAACCTTCTCTAAACAAATATTACACATTTTAGCAAGCCAAGCTCACCACACAGTTGTTATATAACATACCATTGAGCTTTAGCCTTTGCAAACGCTTACCATCCTCAGAATTATGTAAAGATACTTTTCCAACCTCACTACCAATCAGCAATAACTGACCACGATGAAAGATAACAGGCAGCATTCTATGAATATCTTCCTCAGATATTGGCAAAGTCAATCGATGCAGCCCAGATGGAATTTCATAGATGTCAAATCCTTTGAAAATGTTGCAGACTGCCAGACATGTGTTGTCTGGGGCAATGTCAAATGACCCACTATAATATACTAAACATCATATATGCAGATTGTGTTATCAGCACTTACCATACAGGCATATAGATGGTCCATTTCACATCAAAATGGTTTTCACTAAGTTTCCAGCAACTATTTAAATTAGCTATAGTGTAATTTCTCATATAAACTTGCTCACATAATGCCATGATTCAGATATGAGACTACAATGCAATTCTCCTGTGGAGGGGCTAACCATTGAACCTTTACAACCTCGACAGGCTGGCTCAGATTGAATGGTGTGGGCTGAGGTTGTCCCAATGTATGAAATTGCTGCCAAAATTTAGCTGCAGGGGAGCAATTCTTATCAGCTACATTCTTGTAATTCATATCATAGAAATTATGGGAGTAGAACTCATGGGGGTCATGCTAGTGGCATCTGAACCAAAAGACGAGACGATTACTCACTTCCTTGATCCCAGTCCCAGATGTTCACTGTAGCACCTGCTGCGGTTGCCAACAAATGCTCAGTGCATGACTCGGAGACATCCAGGGATGCTGTGGAACTTTGCTGGGCCCATGGACTGACAGGGCTGTCACCGGAGTCACTGGGTCGTATCCCAATCGTCGCATGGCAGTTGAGAGATAATGACTCGATGGGTTCTCCATGTGCAACAAAGCCGGAAGCGGTCACCAACTTCTCATTGAGCAGCAACGGATCAGTTCGACGATCGCACTAGGGTTATTTTTTTGTATCACATACCTCATCGAGGGTGAACATTACGAGTGTCCCATCCGCCGTACCAGCCAGGATCGAGTTTGAGCATTTTGGCCAAAGCAGGCATGACACCCCAGATTTTGCGACCACACGGTATAGCGCTTGACCAGTGTTCAACGACCAGATGGTCAGCTTTCCATCTTGCCCCCCACTTGCGAGAAGGCACCCATCAGCACTGAATGCTACTGCCGTGACCGCGTCGACATGCTCATGGCTAAGGGTATGTTTAGGGACGTATCGCAAACGCATGTTGTACACACTAGAGTCTGGAATTGTTTCGTGTGTTTGCAAAAGCAGGTGAGTCCTGTCTGCCGATCTAATAGCTTCGAAGCTTGAAGCTTGAGCGCTGAGCATGAAGGTTGGTAGAAACGAAGCAACAATGGCGGCACCGCCCACGCGCGTGTTCAAACATTCAACGTCAACACTGGCAGGCTCCGCGCCAGACGGTCAGATCTCATATCATGCTGTCTTCTGCGCGATATCTTGCTGGCTCATTATGGTGCGATAACAAGCAGCTTATACAACGTAAGTAATGCTGTAGCATTCAAACGGCTACTGACGAACAAGACGACATCGACGCGAACATGACTTGCGTAGATGCCCCAGCGCACTGCTCTGCAAGATCCGAACCCTGTCAACGACCTGCTTTCCAGTCCTCTCCTTGCGATCGTACAATGTACATTTTACAGCCCACCTCGTTCTGATCTGACGGCGCTCACCAGAGCTTCTCCGCCCTCGCGCACATGTTGAATGTGAGCGGTGACTGGGTGATTTCCGAGATAGAAAGATATGTCACCTACAGCTGGATGATTTGCATGGGCCACACTATGCCGCATTCGCGACCACAGGCATCCTTCGCCCCGCGGTATGATCTGACTCTGACCTGACTATCGTCGTCCATGTGCCAGGTGCATTAACATGCTCGGCAATGTCTTGAAAATCCATAGGATGCCCTTGATCGCTCCTGCTCGTCGACGCGAGGCATGCCCCCCCCCTTTCGCTCATCCTATCTCCCTGGGGACGCGCCAGACAGGTCGGGCGTGCCAGCGCTTCGTGGGGCACACCTTTCCACCGCCTTCGCGCCTCGCCCGCCACTCGAATGCAGCCGCAAAATGTTTCCTGTCCGCATTTCCCGTCGATTCTAGGCATCATGCATCATGGCCCAATCCATCTGTCAGACTCTCGAGGCGCATTGAAATCTCCGTTTTGAACTCACCCCAACACGTGCTGGCAATCACATTCCAGCATTTGGACGTTCACCTGCCACCCAAGTACACCGCTCGCCAGCATCTGACATCCCTCCACCGATCCTCCCCAAAGCCCATGTATTCTTCCGGTTTGGCGAACGTGCCAATCAAAGTGGGCGCGATCTTGAGTCCTCGTCGCCCGCATCCTGCATTTGTCCAGTAGATCACGATCAGATCCCATCGTGTGTGCCTACTTGCGTGGGTCAAACACGCATTGCACAAGTCCTTCCGAGTTCCTTCAGCACATCAAGGTATCTGCCCGCGCAGGACGACCAGAAAGGAGACAAAAAATGAGTTCTCAACTTACAGATGTACTGCTCGTCGATTTCAGTACGGTAGGTGCGATGTGTAACCAGCACTCACCACTGTCGTCCCAAGGAGCAACTTGAAGTTCCGATAACTTCGAAAGATGCCAGAGAAAACCCTATTCAAAGCCTCATTCCAGTTGATGCAGCCACGAACCTCTACGTCCACTCAAATCCCCTGCCTACGCCGTTGGGTATCCCCCGTCTTTTCATTTCCTCCAGCCACCGTTGGCTGGGGATACCATCACATCTCCTGTCGGCCGCTGCTTCTAGATTTATTCTGGGCTGTCCCTTGGATCCTGCGAAGGGTCATGTTGCATTCGCACACCCGACAGGAGCAGGCAAGGCTGTCTTTGAAGCTTGGGAAAAGGGTGGCATTCGAATCTATGAGGAGCAATCTCAATGAGCGTCGATGCACGAACACGTCCAGACATGTCGCAAAGAGAAACATCACATCCATTGCTATCATGTACATGTATGCCGTACAACATGATCTGCTAGTCCCCAATGAAATATGGTATGAAAATTTAATGTACATTATCTGGTTGAACAGCAGGATACCAAGTGACGGGAAGACATTTCATAGCAGATCGAGTGCATGAGATTGTTACATCCCATTAACGAATCACGCCTCCATCTGAATCACCTGCGCGCGGTTGGAAAGCGTGCTTGAGGGAGGAAGGAACGTCTACAAGAGTTAGTCAGACAAGTTTCTGCATCGAAGTTCTTCCGTACTCACCCTCTTCTTGATGCCGCCGCCCTCCGGCAAACTACTACTGCGGCCTCACTGCCCGCACGCTTCCCTACTTCAAGTCCATAACAGTTTTCGATACTGTAGAGCCATTTCTACTGCTGTTCGAGGAGCTGAGCATATTCTCCTTGATATTTATGAGCAGATCACCGTCGAGACTCGACAACCACTTGCTCAGAAGCGCAGAGCGGCGGGAGATGTCTGACAGTAGTGAGCGCGCACATAATACGCATAAGATAACATCGTCACCAGGAGGACTTCCTTCTTGACAGGTTGTCACACTAAAGAACGCCTCAAAGAGAGAAGTCGTGGATTTATGGAATCCAATGACCGTCCCGGACGCCGCTCCATAGGTCACTCCAAGGACTGATCCATTGAATGTCGTATACCTTTTACAAGCCTCTCTGTCAGTACATGTTTGACAATTTTCAAGACACGCACATATTCCAACCTTACTCTACGTGTTTAGAAAGAAATCAACGCAGCAGAAACTCCATAGATAAGCAGGCCGTACAAACTTGGTTCACGCCTCAGCGTCATGATCTTTATACCACTGATCCATCCCCGTGTAAGTTTCGTAGTGTTTCAGAATTTCGACGATCTCCGACGCCTTGAGGAACCTGTTGGCAGCCAGCATCTGCGACCGCAATTCCGTATTCAGCCCTCTGTTCAGAAGCAGATACGAAGACATACAAGGAGGAAAGATCGGAGCGCGGCCCACCCTGCAGCGCGGTGGATCATTCGCCAGTATTGATCGACGAACTTAACGATGCTATCGCGGTAAGGTTCCATGATGAACTCAGTCCTACATAGCGATCCGGTGAGCGACGGACACTCCTTCCCGAACGGCAGTGTGATGCCCACCTGTTTAGCATGATCCATTTGTTCCAAAGAGCCATCATCACTTTGTTCTCATCCCGGATATCGTCCATCTCAAAGAGCTCTTCTTCCCTATCCACGATAACCCACGAGAGCACCCCGAACGGCTCGAGCGACAATGCGTTCAGAAGGTCGTATATTCGTGACCCACCTGGCCTACAAGAGTAGTACTCCTCGGCATTCGCCCCATCCAGGAGATATGGGTACTGAGCGGACGGGCCCAGCAGATCGTCAGGCGGGGGAGGAGTCGGGTAACGTTCTGGCAGCGAGCCTCTCGATGGCTGTACAATTCTTCGCGCTCGAGGGGCGGTGGCTGGAGTGGGCGATTCTGCCCGGAATTTCTTGGGAATGAACACCGGGGGTTCAGGAGAGAGTAATTCTGGCTGGATCATAGGCAGAGGAGACGCGACGGAGATTGAACCAGACATGCGCAGTGCCTCATCCACCTCATCCACCTCCGCAGCTGACGACGGCGTTGGACGTGGCGTCCGCGACGGAGTTGAAAGTAGTTCACTATGCACCAGTCAAGACCACTGCAAGCCACATAGAGAAGACTTGAGACTTACTCGAGTTCGTCCTCTTCGTCTTCTTCTTTGAGAGGCACCTGTCCAGGAACTTGGCTATCCAAGTCGCTTTCATCATCTTCCTCATCTTCAGATGAATCACCGTCATCTATATCCGACACGGTGAGCACAATCTGCCACGTCTGTTTCTGTTTCCACCGCAGCTGATTAGCATTCATATTCATGAGATCTCCTGAGTGGAGCTTACGCCATTCCGCTCGATCCCTCTCCACAAAACTTGAACCTCGGCATGGTCGCATTGAAGATGGAACCGTAACATCTCTCGGGTATCAAAGGACGGATGTAGCTGGCATAATGGGCAATCCCACTGCAGCATATGCCCCTGCCACACTTTGTAATCGTACTCTCCCGAATCTGCTGATGTTACAGTGTTATCGTCGTCATCCAGGTTATACCTATACAATACGCTTATGGGAGCTTCCAGGGCAGTCTTCGGCTGCATCTTCACTCCTAGCAAATGGCAACGATGCCTGAAGCCTTTGCGGAGGTTTCGCAGGAGGAATGGTAGCTGTCGATACTCTTTCATCCATGTCGTAGGTAAGGTGAGGGCATCGAGGGCAGCCGTCAGCTGCTCAATGTCCTCCGATTCACTTTCCTCACTTTCTGAATCCGAAGTGTCCGGGATTTCCTCCAAGCTTTCGTCAATGACTTTCTTCCGTGCTTTTTTGGGAAACCCGCTAGATTTCCTTCCAAACTGCATTTCCGGCCTGTCGTTTCTCAAAGCCGATGGTCCCGCATGGTGTTCCATCGGATGTGGCTCCTCTCTTTGTGCCAACAGAACCAGATGAGTAGTGCAGACTTTTGCAAGCAGGGACATCTTACATACATTGCCGATTGATCACGTTGGATTTCTGCGCCGAGACCACCCAACCGGCGTAATACAAGGCTTCGTTCCAAGTAAAAGGCGTATTCCCCGGAAGTTCCGTCGAACCTGTGGCCATGGTCCCTCGCATGCAATCCTAACGGTGCGGCTGCTACATCTGGCCGTCTGATGGCAGTGGACGCCATCATTCGCGGCGCGGTGGACCGCCCGGCAAAGCCATTCTGTGCACAAGAGCCGTGGCCGCCCGATGATGGGCGGGCCTCGTCTTGCGTCGTCCATGGCAGCCGCAACGGCGAGGACTTCACGGTGAGGTCCACATGCAAGCGTGATGGCGGTACATGCGCAGAAGGCGCCCTGAACCTATCCTCACCACGTCCGACGGGGACTTGTTTTGTAGCGATTAGACGAGGAGTCGCGTGCTGGTTCATAGGCGTGTTTGAAAACGGATTTTGGGTATGCGCGTTTACTACGCGAGACGTGGATTTTGCAACAGGCCGACGAATGGGCTGTGATGCGACTGCGCGCGCCGGCGCCGAGTGAGATGAAGGGCCACTCCGGGTGGCCATCTTCCTCGAAGTGTTGGGACGATGTCCGGCATTTGAAGGTGCATCAGCACTATGAGGAGTGCCTGTTTTGCGTGCTACTTTGGATAAACCCGCATGAGTGCTGGCTTCACCTTGTCTGCTGCTTCCTGACGGATTCATGGCCGGGATATCAAACGAGAGATTGCGCTCGATCACTAGTAGATGCTGCCGCCGAAGTGACCGATGTGAGGTTCAGAAACAAGAAGGCACTGCGACATAATACTCAGTACTGTCGTTGGTGCGGACGAGTTATGAACACTGAAACGTTGATCCTCCGAACTTGTCCACCCGCGAGTTGAACATCAGATCCACGGAGGACTTTTCGCGAAACATGGTCCGGAAGCATATTCGGCGAGCAGTGGCCTGATCCACCATGATGAGAAATAGTAAAACATGCCAGTAGCCCAGTGTCGTCGCGCAAGTCCATCACTCTTCGTTTCAGACAAAAGTCCGGACTTCTTTCAGCGCATCGCATATTAAAATTAATGGCATGCATCAACTAGTCCACCATCGTTGACTGCGACGTCAGACCGAAGCCTGGTAGGTTTCAGACCCTCCGCATGCGTCAATCAGCCGGAGGATCAGTTCTTCATCTGTCCACCGGGGCGGCACGCAACGGCTTGTGCACGGAATCCATATTGATGTTCATTACGTCCCGCAGCAACATGCTTACCTGGCGTCGTCAGCAGTATCGTACGATGTCTTGCTGAGGAGCTCGAACACTCGACGAGGCTGGAGTGGAACCTAGCGTGCGTCGAGACGATTTGGCTCTGTTGAAAGCGGAAGTCTTTTGGGCAACAAAGCCAAACACATTGTTCGTAACGTGATCGTCACTCGGTATTTCCGAGCACACGACAATTTCACCACATTATCTACGGTCGTGCTGGTGCTGCGACCCTTCCCCTGCATAGAGCAGACTCAGCACGCCATGGCTGTACCATCTGAGAAAGCTGGCGTCGGCGCGCTGCTCGGTTCGCGTTGTTGCCAGCGCCGCACTTACCCGATTAGATATCAGCTACTTCGGTGGTGCGAAATCGCTCTCGGAGGGCAGGTCTCCCCACAGGACGGTGGTCGCCTCCCCAACCGCCCAAGATGACGGCAAACATCATATTGCTCCTCCTCAGGATCCGTCTGATTTTCTCTGGATCATGATGGAGGAGCCGCACCGCAGCTGCCGTACGGCAATCATGAAGGCTCATCCGGAGGTGCTTCTCCCTTATACAGCCTTCCGTGACGCGTCTAACAATGTTTTATATCATTATTGCAGGTGAAAAAACTGATGGGATGCGAACCGCTCACGAAATACGTCGTGTTCTGTGTTGTTTCTCTCCAAATCGCTGTCGCATACCTACTGCGAAACACCAAGCCTCTGTGACCGTTGTGGTGCCTTTGTGTCTATGTCATCGGCGCGACAGCCAACCATAACCTCTTCCTCGCCATCCATGAGATTTCCCACAACCTTGCCTTCAAGGGAATATGGGCGAACAAGGCACTCTCTGTGTTCGCGAACTTGTCTATCGGGGTTCCCTACTGCGCCGCGTTCAAAGTGTGTCCTTCAGCGCGAATTACTACAGAGGACTTGGCTAACAATCATACAGAGATATCACATGGAGCATCATAAATATCTTGGAGAAGACGGCATAGATACCGACCTCCCCACCCACGTGGAGCTCATTTGCTCAATAACGTTCTCGGAAAAGTATGCTTCGCGTGAGTTCGTTCACCTGTTCTCTCATAGTATATTTCGTTGAAGGCTACCATCGGTACATTCCACATATTCTTCTACGCCCTCCGTCCGGGCTTTGTGCGCACGCAACGTATCATTCAACGGCACATCACCAACTTGATCGTACAAGTCATCTTCGACTACGTGCTCGTCAAGACTTGCGGTGTTCGCCCGCTCATATATTTGCTGGCGTCAAGCTTCTTTGCGGGGAGCCTGCACCCGTGCGCGGGCCACTTCATCGCCGAGCACTACGTGTGGGATGGCCTTCTCCAAGAGACGTACTCGTACTATGGGCCCCTCAACATCCTCGCTTGCAATGTCTGTATGCTGCTCAGTTATTCGTACAGTTGTTGCTCACTTGACGCGATTATCTTGGTGGGGTACCATAACGAACACCATGACTTCCCATCGGTCGCATGGACCCGGCTGCCAGCACTACGTGCGCTCGCACCAGAGTTCTACGACACGCTCCCATCTCACCCGTCCTGGCCCACGGTCACCATCAACTTCATCCGTGACCCGGAGGTCACCATCTTCGCACGGGTGAAGCGTCCGATGAAGGGCAAGGCGCAGCCTGTGCAGGAAACTAAGCAGCCTAAGAACGCTGTCAAGGATGCTAGTGACTCGGATGAGGGAACGGAGTAGGCAAGTGGCACGGGAGATATTTTATTTCTGGTGCTCCACATAGCCCGGACGGTCGATTTTGAACAATATACTGTATACTTGTCTGTGAATCGCAGTCACATGAAATGCACTTGGGCGCGTCTTGCCCCTCTCTCGCGAGAGCTCTCAGCTCGCTCAATCTCCATTGACTGGCACCGTGAGTTCTATTCAACCGTCATGCAAAGCGAGGGTATGAGATTATGAGTACAGCCACGCGAAATGGGTATAGAGGCCTCATAGCAATATGCGCGACGCTGAAACTAAAGCGAAGACTTGATACTGTTTAGCCGGACAACCAAAGGCAGTAGTGTTCCGTTCTCGCGGGAAGCATCGTACTGGACAAGGTCGAGGTGAATCTTACAATGCATGATTGTTAGCTGGTGTGTAGCACGGCGTGCGGCATACTGCTCACCATTGATTGAAGTGCGTCTCGAACTTATTCAGGTAGTCCCATCTTTTCGAAAACTCCTTATCGCCCTCAGGCCACTCTCCGAAGCGAATGCGCCGTTTAACGACTTCGTGAATGAAGCGGCATACAGCGCAAATATGAGGCACGTCGTCATGAGGCGCGAATATGCCTACAACCGTAAATCAGAGGAACCGCAGAGCTAAGACGTGAACGATCGCTTACACCAAGAAGCCTCGAACTGTTCAGCATGCACTCCTTCAGGCATGTATCCAAAACGTCCACGTGCTCCTTCAGAAGCTGGTTGACCGTCTCCACCTTTCGCGCCTCGAGTTTTCCTTCGAGCTTGCGCCAGTTCGGCTCGAGTACCTCGAACGTCGTGAATGCCAGTATGTTGTTGCATGAACGCAAGCATGCGCGCCCGCAACAGGAACGCGCGCTTGCGCCAGTTCTTCCAGCTGCACACCCCACTCGCTCGCGGGGGGGCGTGCGGTGCCATATGGGCATCTTCTGCTCGAGCCACATGCTCGTGAGCATCTGCTCGACGTGTTTGAGATGCAATAGGAAGTGGAAGATGAGCTGGTAGCGCAGGACGGTCTTGCGCGAGATAACGAGCGAGAGCGGGAACTTGACAGTGTAGCCCATACCCGTTAGCCAGATGCTCTGTTTGGTAACCGATGCATCTTGCCTTGTAATGATTTTTTCTCATCCTTATCCCTGTCCTTCTTCGATTCTTCTCTAGAATGTGCATCCATCCCCTTGCCAGTGTCCTCGCCAATTACTCCATGCTTCCGCAGTACATCTATCAGCCATTCATACAGCCCGCTCATCGCCATCGTGACACATACGTCCTCACGGAACATCGCATCCTCACCCTGCGTGTTTGTGTTGAGCACGAGGTCGAGCAGGCTCTGCAACTTCACAAGCGATGCGCCCTTCGCGGGTCTGCGTAGCTCCGAGTGTGAGAGGTCAAGGAGATGTGTGATGAACGTCGACTGCGAGAGGAAGAACAACCGTTTGGAGGAGCGCAGCCGCGGAATTAGCTGCTGGTCCCGCAGGAGCAGCTCTAGCAGAGTGTGATTCGCGTGAGTGTACGCCTCATCCATCGATTTGTCTAATCTATGATCATTAGCTGAATGGAATACGACATCATCAGGAAATGTACTCGCTTCTCATTGTCCAAGGACAGATCGTCATCGGCTTGGTTTGAATAACGCCTGATCTCAATACCACATTCCCGGATGACGTTCAGGTACTTCCCGGCGAGGAGCATCTTATGCTTCCAATTCTCCACCATAGGAAATGACACAGGCGCCCCCAGGTAAGCGACCGCCTGGAGTACGTGGTGGAGGCACTCCGGCGGTTTGGGACGATCCACCGATTGTCGAGCCGTCTCGAGACCATATATACATGTCAATATGATTTACGGTATATCGCCGCTCCCAGTACTCATCCGTATAGTCCACCTCGAGCATTTCACGATCAACGAACTTGCTCTCCTTGACGCACAACTCCTCATACGGGTCAACCAGCCGGCCCATCAGTATCCAAGCCTGCAGCATCTCGATATATGGCTTCCCGCGGTGCGGAGCATTCGCCATACAGCGCCCGCGCCGCCGGGTGGCCCGACATGTTCTGCATGCACTCGAAGATGATCGCAAGCACCTCGCCGCCCTTCACTGGGGTTGCGCTCGCACCTTCATCCACGCCCTTGTTGATCTCGCTGCGCATTGCCTTGAGCTTCGCGCCGCCGAGCCCGAGTGCCTCGTTGCACACTGCCTCCTCGCTGTCAACTGAGCTCTCAGACTCTGACTCAGACTGCGCATCGGAGGTGCCATCTGCTCTCGCGAGCTCAGTAGTGAGGAGATAAAGTAAAGAGAGGGTGTGCAGGATGGGGTGCACGTAGAACAGAGCTTCTGCAGGGTGAATGAGGAGGAGGTGCTGAAAGCGTGTTCGAGCTGGGCAAGAAGGGTTTAATACTCCTGATGAGAAAGATGTCAGCACGAACAGACTGAACCGGATCAAAGCATACTTTGAGCATGTCGCGCATGGCAGCGCATAGCACATGATTCACAAGTCCAAAGTCTGAATGGCTCCGTAGCTCGATGAAGGAGGTCACAGCAGTGTAGTATGTTGCAAATGGTAAAATGCGTTCGACGAGGTCACGCAACGAAGGGTCTATAAGTGATGAGAGACCCGGATAACCCCCAGGCAATGATAGCCACCTACTTAATGAGGGAGACACGACGAAAGCTATCCCTTGCAATGGGTCCTCGTCATCTGGGGAGTAGTCAGGAAGCTGAGTGACATATACACCCTCAATCGCCTGCGATATGCACATAAAACGGTTGCTATCAATTCGCTCGATACGCTTAGAATGAAACATACCATCAGAACAAATAAGAGGTCCTCCAAGACAAGCGCCTCTTGTACCTCAAGAGGGACACCCTCGAAGCTCTCCTTCGCCTTCGTCTTGCCCTTGCCCTTGCTCTTGTCCTTTGCTCTTGTCCTTTGGTGCTATGCCGGATGCTACTCGTGAGTTGAGCGGAGCGCGCACGAACGATGTCTCCGCGTAGAAGGATGTTTCTTCGGGTGCTACCTATAGCTGCTTCGTCGGAACACGCATACTGATGAGCGTACGCATAATACCTCTATCCAGGCTGGACATGCAGAAAACACTCCAGGGTCCTCTTCATATCCGTCTTCGACATACTGATGCGTTCTCCGAACAGATGCTATCGTCCCTGTCAACCTATTGTTCTTTCCATATGAAAACTCTACTACGCATGTCCAGCTTCAGGACATACCTTCGTGTACTCCTTCGTCGACAACGTCAAATTCTTCTTCCGTCGTCGAGGAGTATAAGGCTCCATCTCTTTCGTACTCTATAGGTCCTATCCACGGTCACGTCGTGTTAGTCGGTATATCTGCAATTGACGCCGGTCTAGCAGTAGAACGACTACGTACGGAGGTCGAACACAGTCTCGTGTACGCGTCCCAACGTGCGTGAGAAGTTCACGATCGAGGTTGAAACATTGACTCTCGGGTCGTTCGATCCCCAATCAGCAAATCTAATATTCGCGAGAGGCCTCAGTATGTGCTATATAGCAATAAGATTTTCCTGGATGGAGATTCGGACATGTACAGTTGAGGGTGCACATGGACCTGGAGGATTTAAGGCTGCAGAAAGTGCAGAAACCAAGCAGAAACACCGTAGTACGATCAAGGAGGACACCGGCAGGTGCCGAGACCCGGGTATCGGAGTTTTCTGACCCCATGTCTAAAACCCGATTTTTTGCCCACCCCTTGGCCACGATCGCTTCGTCCTTATTCTCGACATCCTACAACTAACCCTCCTGTCCTCTCCTGGATAGGACGGCATGCGCGATGCAAACGTATATAACCTTAAGCGGGCTATGCCCCGCATGGTGCGTTAATTTATCTCAAATGTGTTTGCATTCATCAGAGCTGGAATGTGCACAACTTGTACAACCTCTGGCAACGCTCTTTCGGTGGAAAAACACGCGAAATAGACTTTTCCAATTCAGCACCGATGGATTGCCAAGGCGCTCTTGCGCGCCTACCATGGCGACTTACATCCGCCGGATGTGCGCTCGCATGTCATCAAGAGCGCAAACCTCGCCGCGCTCAACAAGTGGGCACATCGCGATATGGCCGCGGAGAAGGAGGCGAAGAGGCTTGAGCTCGAGCAGGCCAAGGGACTCGCACCTGTGGGCAGTCTGATGTTCAGGGAGGTGGAGAGGTGGCTCGATGTGCTCGTGTTCCGATGCTGCTTTGCGCACATTGTATACGAGGCGTGGAGGCTCATCATACACAGAGAAGTCATGCTGAACGGGCAGAAGGTGCGTGTGCCGATAACTATCCCGACCGCGACACTCTAACAGAATAAGCAGCATATGCATCCAAACACGAGATTGGCTCCAGACGACGTGATCTCAGTCAATCCGAAGGGGATCCGCTTCCTTTAGGCTAGCGCAGCGGCAAAAAAAGCGAAACCACAAAGGCACCCGAGGAGGACGAAGTGCAAGAAAAGAAGAGCGAGTCGTCTGCCGCCGAAAACTCCGCACCGCAGAAACCGACTCTGCAGAGAAGACAAAAGAAAACACTGGCGCCGCTACATCTACGACTGCCTCGGACGCGCAGGACGCAAGCGAATGCCGAGCCAAGGAAGAGCCGAAGTCGCCCAAGCCAAAGCGTAAATCGGACCTCACGCCCTTTCACCTGCCACCCTACGCCTCTCCATCCATCTTCATCCATGCGTATATCGAGCCGTCATTCGCGACCTGTTCCGCGGTGTATCTGTGCCATCCGACCGCACTCCCAGGGTACTCGGAGATCCCAACACCGTACGATGCAGATGGGGAGCTCGTGCGCGCGGCCTGGGAGTGGTATAGCCATGTGCGACCGTGCATGCGCAGCAAGCGCCAGCTCAGTTTGGATGCCGGAGAATAGACAGGTCAGCGGCAGGGCAGTGTATCATGAGCGCGAGAATGCCGAGGCTACGGCCTAGGTCGTATACTGATGCTTCATTTTCTATGGAATGGTGTGGGATTAATGAATGCATACGCGCAGATCAGGGCTGCAGCATCATTCCTATAAATCAAAGTGTCATGCATGCCAGTTGAGCGTCGATCATTGGACCTTCCGAGCATGCGCGCACCCTACAACGTAATAATTTTACGTGTGTCGGGGGCATCCTACGGCGACATCCAGTATCAAAGGATCACCGACACTTACATTGACCATGGTTGGTTGTGCACATATGAAGGCTCGAATGAGGACCAGGAAGAAATACTTGCCTCGTTCTCTTGCTGAATCATTATGGACCCTATCACAGATATGATTGTGAGAGCGAGTGACTATTCAAAGAGATTCAAAGAGAACAATGGCGATGAAAAGGACGAGAACAGCTGGGACCATTGACGATCAGTCTGAACAGCATCAAGCCAATGCACCGCAAACAAGTGTGATGAGCCATCTGAGCCTATCCATACGGTGTGCATGCGTTAGGCACCACTTGTCCTCACAGTGTGGGAGCTCATTGCGCGAGCCTCGGTCTAATGAGCGAGGATGGTGCGATGATTACGTGTAAGGTGAGAACGGCAATACCGAACATCGTCCTTAGATAGCCCCTCACGTTCCACAGCTAATATGTACAAGTTCATTCGGACACTTGCATAGCCTTCGGCGATCATGTTCAAAAGGAGTGTTGCCATCGTCGGCTACTAGTAGGACCGTCTATGTGACAGCGCCACACGTAAGTTCACAGTCTGACACACATTGAACACTGACTAGTCAGATATCCTCCACGATGGACCTCCTAGAACGAGTGTTTGACTCATCGATATGCACGGATCGATCACTCATTTTCAATGTTTCTGCCTGCCAGGGTATTAGAAAAGACACTGTCCAGCAAACAACACGAGACCATAGGATGATGGGCATGTCACACGAGTGTACATATACATTAAGTGGAGATGTATCTGCTTCACGCATCAGCATCAACACACAGCAGAACATTGAATGCGACAAGCCTTACCTATAACATATCGACAAGCCTCCCAAACAGCACCTGCAAGCACCTCATAACTCTCCGGTGACGTTGCGCACGACCCAATCTGCCACACGGCCCACGGTCTCCTCCGGCTCGTTACCATGAATATAATATGCCGTGCGCTGCTTGACAAAAACAGCGTACTGAGGAGCGTACTTATACAGCTCAGTGGCGACGAGTATGAGGATCGTGTATAGAATGATGACTAGCCCGCGTTGCATCGGTAAATCACACTGCCACATGCAGAGCGATGGAACTGCACTGCACTTACTCAGCAGGATCTTCTCCCACCGCTCAAGCAGCGCACGCCCGGTGGTCGTCTCGAACAGCATGCGCCTTCGCCAGAAAAACGCGCCAATGGGGTTTCTCGGTGAGCGATACGGCATGGTGATGCCGAAGATCGCAGCGGCGGTCGTGGGGACGTGTTTCCATGTCTGCGGGGACATCGCAGGCATCGTGGATGAAGGCACGGTCGACGATGAATCGATGGATGTCAGAATAACGATGTGTGATTGGTATGGGATGAAGAGGGATCGAGAGCTGCGAATGCTGCGTCACGCCGGACTAAATGGACGTGTAATACGAATAGGCCGTGTACATGCACGAATAGTATAAAGAGAGGGTGAACAGTCAGACGTCCGACGAGACTACTCGAGAAAGCTGGGATGAACACTTCAGTTGGTGACGGCGGAAATCTGAGAGTGGCAAGCCGGGAGACGCCCGACACAGGTTAACATTCCTAGTACGTACTACAATGACCAGTTCAGTGGTTGCTTCGCCACCTTGTATCGATCACGCTTCTGCTCTTGTACCTGCTCTTGTACCTTTCAGCTGCTCTTGTACCTTTCAGCTGCTCTTGTACCTTTCAGCGATGTCCATGAACCCAGGATCTCTCAGGGAGATCACGCCGTCTTCTTTCGGGGAACCTTTGAATCCTGCAGAAGCTTCGGTGCGTCAGTTTCCTGCCAGCAATAGTTCACTGCTGGGTTTACAGGGGGCGACAGGGACCTCCGCGCACGCTTATCACTGATTCTGACTGCTGTGATCAGTCTCATAGATCCTCTTATGTTGCGGAACGGCACCGCGTGCTCAGCGTCAGTGATTCACGCTGTTGAGTTAGGTTGTCGATTCATCCTGCATATTTTTCTATAGAGCGTAATGAGCGCTGTGACATCAAGGCATAACTCGGTGGAAAAACAGGTCCTTCGACTTACGGGGTCGGTATCTGTAACGACTACTATAGAGCGGTCTAGACACATGGACCCTCATCAAGATCATGGTGAATCATCCAAGTGGTCAATACGCTCAGAGACAGCTGATGTCGAGAGTTTTTACCGCCTCCGCCATGATAAGCGAGCATCCGCTTTTGGCAATGTCCCTTCCCGCGACGAACGTTCCTCATCAGCTCCGAGCGTCAGATCCTCTGCCGAATCTGCATCAAATGATACTGGAGAGTCATCAAGACATTCTATGGAGCTAAGCTTTGCTGCTCTCTCAAGGAATGCTCCTCGAGAGTCCCCTAAACAATCTCCACGTCGAATCTCGAGATGGAACCCACCTTCCTTCGAATGGTCGGATGAACCTTCCATATACCCGGATTCTCCTATGTGCACCGACCCCTCCTTTCCGCAATGGGATCCTTCTCCAATACATGTAGAGGATGAGACTACTAGTACTACTCAAAGTGGTAGGTTGCCCACAGGAGACATTGAGCCGCGTATTGACTTGCAGCCTCTAGCCATGGCCCAGACATCAATGTATTCTCGTAAACTATGGCAGAGCAACCAACTTAACGCGGAGTCCCATGCAGCGCCTTCTTCCTCGTCTTCTTCCCCGTCAGCTCGCACGCAGCACCGACCACGCAAACCCTCGATAACTGGCAGGAGCTCACGGATCGCACATGCTTCGAAACACATTGCCCGAGCTCTGGTGATGTCCATAATTCCGGGACTTATCTTGCTTGTGTCGTGTAGTGCACTCTACTCATCTCTCCCAAATGAATTCTCGATCAACGCATGTAGTTGCCAGGGAGTTGATTCGTCAGCCCATTCGTCTGCTGATCCCTCGGCGAGCATCGTACAAATTGACATCGACAACGTGCAAGTTCTAGAATCTCTGACATCCCCATCCCACGTCATACCAGAACGTACCGATGTTCGCTTTCTCAAGCGGATTTTGGGACACAAAATCGCGATACCTCGCCCTCCCTCAGTTGTGCTGGGAAAGTCATTGCACGCTGGGGTCTGCTGGCCAATGAACGGATCGACTGGGCACCTCGGTCTTCGATTGCCTTCTGCTATGCACGTCACACATATCAGCATTGATCACATCCCGCTGGATTTGACTGAAGACATCCAAGCGGCACCTCGAGATCTCGTCTTGTGGGGATTGTCGGAGGACGTGGCTATATCTCATGCGAAACCCCAGCCGGAACACACACATTCTTTGAAATTAGCGATGCGACTGCCCCTTCCACCAGGGATGCAGCTGGTTCCGCTTGCAAGCATTAGCTACGACATTTATGCTCCGGCTTACCGGCAGTTATTCGAAACTGATGTACGCTTCCAGGCATTGTCATTCGACATGCTCGTCTTGGAGGTCTTAAGTAATTGGGGAGCATCGGAGTTTACTTGTTTGTATAGTGTTCGCCTGCAAGGGTGGGCGTAAGGCTGAATGTATGCGATGTGCTATGGCCATGAGTTGTCTTCATGGCCTACCGTGCATACAGTGTTCATTCGAGCGTTCCCTTATATGCATTATCTTATCATCCTCCTTGTCGCTCGCGTCCATTTGCAAACCCATCTTTTTTCTCTCAACATCGCTATCAGTGCCTGCAGCAGATGGGTCTCCCACACGACCACACCAATGACGGACGGTCGTTTCGCGCGCTCGAACACGAAGAACAGCGAAGGAGGAATTATTAGTGTCGAGCAAGTCCGGGTCGACGTCATGAGAACACCCAAGGCTCTCCATCAGAAGTCGCGACGCTGCAGCGCACTATGCTAGCCTATTGTGAGTCCGGTCCCTAGATATATGTTAGAACGTCTCTCCTATCTCATGAGTCACCCACAGCTGCGCCCAGAGTCCGCTGAGTAGCCGGATCTGTATACGCTCGCGTGCTGCTCTCCTAAAACATATTCACCCCTCGTCATGCCCCGCAGAGTACTCACTGGCTTTGGCATCGACGTAGACACCGTCGCCGGATGGTGCGCATTCTGCAATAAGCCGCTCTTCGAGATGCTAAAAAGGCACAAGGCACGGTTCATACGGAGGCGAAGACTCTCTGTTGGACATTTCCAGGGTATTCTATGAGCCTTATCGCTAGCTCTTTAAGAAGTACAGTATCAAGACGACTTGGTTTATCCTGGTTAGCTTCGATGACAATATTGGCCAGCATGAATTAATTCCTCACGAGGACACAGTTTGGAGACTTTCCAGAACAAATAGCTGTCGTTCGGGACGCGGGCCATGAGATGTAGGTAACCTACAACCGAACTCCTTGACGCACGATTACAGTGAAGCTCAGAGGCTTCACGGATATTCTCACGAAGTTATGACTTTCTAATCGAAGGCACGATGGCGAGGTCACCGTTGTTGCTGCAGAATTCCGTATCGTTGACGGTTCAATAACAAAAGGACATACTTGACTATACCTATGACTTGTTGACGAACTTCAACAATGGGATACCACCCAAATGGAGCGTCGCGCCGTGGTGGGAGACAAGTGCTGAAGGCGCTAACTTCCTCCTCGATGAGGGTATCATGTTGCAACCATGAATGCCTCGTTCCTGGTATTAACATCACTTGTTCAGATCACTCGAGTATGGCTCATGAGTAACGATCATTTCTTCCTTCATCCTTCCTCATTTCACGTGCGTAACAGCTCCCAGGCATACTAACCATGCGATCAAGACACCTGGACCAAGATCGATCACAAGGTCGAAGCGCATACTTGAATGAAGTCCTTGATTCGCGGCAAAGAAATAGGCATCGTCGAGTTGCCCGGCAGTTGGTATGTTTATCTGAAAAGCACCACCTAAGCATTGTTTGTCATAATTCTCATATAGGTACCTCGATGATGTTCCTGCGATGATGTGCGTGCCGTCAATCACATAATTTAATTCAGAACGCTGTTTAGGTTCATCAAATCTAGTCCCAACTCCCACGGCTGGGTCTGTGTGTCCTTATGGATGATATCGGTCGCTCTGTCATATTCCGTCAGATTAACGCACGACGTTGAGCAGCTCTGGAAAGATACTTCGCATACCTATGCAGATGAAGTCGTCGTATGTGACTTGTAACATGGTCCGTGCATGAACCTCGTCACCACAGAGGAACAGAACTTCATCTTCCCGTTCACTATCCATCCAGATGTCAGCGAATGCGTACTCACTTAATACGTATACGCTTCTTGATCCCTGTAAACGTGCTCATCTGCGCATCAGCCACCCTCACATCCTCCTCATGATCGTAAGTGTTCCGTGCAGTTGTATCAAACTCCGCCACCGTTCATTCTGCACAGGAGTGCTTCATCGAATAGGTCAACACCCACCACAAAGACGTCCACCGGGTGCGCATGACGGATATGGCGCGATCACACGTTTTTCTGGTTCGAAAGAGGCAGCAAGAAGAGCCGGTACAATGTTGCCTATGGTCAAGTTAACGACAAGATCACCGACATCTAGCAATTCCAACAGCCGCCCATACAATTCCTTCATACGCCCCTGTCGTGTTCGTGTGGACGACTTCTCTGCACCGGCTGACCTTCATGCGAAGCAACCTCTGTCCCCTCTTGAAGCATGAAGTCTATACTGAGAGAGCACTCAAGGACACAGAAGTCAGGACAGAGCCTGTTCGGACATTCAGCCACTTGAAGGGTCAACCTAAGAAAGCTCCAGGATGGCGGGATTGACTACGCGGGTGTCAGAGATTTGTTGGTTAGTTACCCTCACTAACGCTCGTCTGTTCTCGTCAAGTATCCAGATGCTTGGATGTATGTATATTGAGAGGGTGTGATTCTAATGCTGGTTTGATTTTTCAGACGGAGATTCCATTGGATACGCCCACAGAAATTCAAATTGACGATCAAGAACGAGTGACGATTACTGCATTCGACGCAAACTATTGCCCAAAAGCAGATTGAGATGTTAAAGGACAAACCCGCAACAGAGGAAAGACATCCGTTCATTCAAACACTGCGTGCCTCTTGAATATCGTTAACGTTCCGACCAAGGTATGATATCTGTTTGTCATCTGTCTCCGTTGTTCAAGCCATAAGGCCAGGACGATGCAACTTCTGGGCTTCTTTCCTTGATGGGTCTTCTTCCCGCGATGACAGTATTCTTTATAAACGCCTGCACATGGGGATGCGAAGACATCTTGAAGGTTATCGCTAGAGCCTTCAACAGTCCAGTGCGTCCGTGAACGTAATTTTCTATCTGCTTCATGCCAATGTCGCAGTATTTCTGTAGGTTCATGTCGACCGTTACGAGCATGCGGTCTTCTCACGCATACCTGGCGATCCGCTGCCACGATCCATCATCACATGTGATCCTAGTGGCACACGATTCCACGTTTGCGAACGCTTTGACCCATACGAGTACGTCAGCGTGGACGGTAATGGTTTTTTCTCCCCTACGGCTGCACTCGCAGCACGGGCAAGAAAATTGTGTACATCAATCCCATCAATCCTGTCACAATGGGCGTCACCAGCCGGGGGACCTCTACGTAAGGAAAACAAAGGCGAGGTTGGCTCAAGGCGAGATCATCAACCATCTCGTAAGTGTCCGATTATTAGACGAAAAAGATCAGTTGACATACTGCCTCACTGCAGTCAGTGCCTCTTTCGCGACATTCGCCCCTGCCGGAACTGAAAGTGTTCGTCTCCATATTCAAACCGAAGTGCGTGATCCCGGACACTCTCGATCCGACACTCAAGGGGCTTCATTGGGCGTGCATCCCTCAGATGGTTTCAGGTTGTCTCCATTCAGATGATAGTCATGGTGCTGAGCGGGATGCCTTGGTTGCAAATTTGAAGGCTAATGAGCTGTTTGAGGTGTTGTCTGCGACAGACCAAGACGACGAGGACGTCGCTTTGAAGGAGAGGATCCTCGTCGATCGTATTCGGGATGACAGCCATTCAGATTCTCGTGGCCCTGATGGCAGTGACTCGACATCTCCGTCGCTGTCAGGGCTCACTGGACGGAGAAGTGCGAACAACGTGGCCGTGACACGGCCTTAACAGGGTTGGGCCTCCAGGGCTGACACAGAAAGAGCGATGGCGCTACTTCTGCCCAATATTTCCGAAGACTCTATCAAAGCGACCAGGATACGGAAGATTCAGATGCTGAACACGAACGAGGATGGACCACACATTACCTGTTCGCCGGACAAACAGGTGTTTCTTCGGACGATCTCCTCAGTGTGTCAGAGGACATATCCCCTTTGATACATCCTGCTCGAAAATCGCCCGCAGCCGCTCAAGACGTCCTTACGCAAACGCCGGCTCGGTCGTCGGAACGTCCGCCTCTTTCACCAGCAAGCCCCTCACACTTCAACAGCTAAAGAATCTAAAGTATCGTTCGCTTGTCCTATGCAAGATTTGGAAGTGCATAAGAAGTCAGGCAATGCGATGAAACGAAAGAGGGCAATATCTTCCCCGAGAATCCAAGATACGAGAGGTATTAGCGCACTGCTGCTTCTGAACGAGGCAGTGGACTGGCTATTTCAGTCTTAATGAGCATGAGCTCGATGCAGGTAGTCACCGAGGAGTATTTTGGAATGTCAGGAAGCCAGTTGCTCAATAAGCGAAATCTCGTACGGAGTTCGCCGACGACTAAGTCGCAAACTGGGAAGGAAGATGATCGCCTGAAACGGCCCAGAATTGCCGAAGATTCCAAAAATGTTACGGAGCGTGATGACACGACAGCTACATTTGTCCGAAAACATCCTGTCAAGCTGAGCAATGCAACTATCCCTAAGCCGTCCGGAAACCGGAAGATCAAAGATTGTTCTTATTCACTGAATGATCCTGAGGTCAACGCTTCAAAATGTGCTCTGAACACGCATGCTACCGATGCTTCTGTCTCATCGCCACAGCATATAAGACCGGTCAAGTTCAATAATGCACTTGCGAAGTTGAAACCGCGCTGGCGGAAGGCAGCAGAGAAACTCTCCCACGCGCTTGGTCGGCAAGCTCCTGAACTAACCCATACGGCGTCCTCTATACAGCTTCCAACACATCAAGCCTACGCGTCCGTCTCGGTTGAAGCGCCGGGGATTCTCTCAAAGTATGCAGCATCAGGTGCCCGTAAATGCACGTTCCCTGACAGACTACCTTCCCAAGATGACGTAATAGCCAGATCGATACAGGTACAGATGGACATGAATCGAACCCATCAACTGTATGAAGACATCAAATATATGGATGGTCGAGGCGAGGAACCCGGCCTCGCCATCCCGTGTCTGCAGTGTCTGGACAGCCAAGGCGAGCAAGGCAGGTGAACGGCGAACGCAAGCGATGAAAGCTTTACTTAGTTAATATCATTATACTCACTTATTCCTTTACTTTACGAAGTGTTCCAGTGTAGAATTTAATGCGCTAGAATTCATTTGAGCGGATCGCCGGAGTCGCAGCAAGGTCATTCTAGGATGCCTTCCTTTTATGGATAAGTCCCGAGCGGTGCCACACTTTCATGCCATGCTAATTGCCTCAACTCGAGCGCGAGCTTCACCGCACCGTACCAACCGTTCTTGTACATCCATCCTGCTCGCACACACAAATTACGAGGTGCTCGCTTTCGACACTGCGCTGTAAGAAGAAGGCTTCAACATCAGCGGCACGACGGCCGGCGAGCCATCAAAAGAGAGTCAGTAAACCTCCTTGCTACATCTACTAGTACGAAGTTTGGTTGGTCGATTCGGAGAGAGGACAACTGATTGCCACGAAGTACGCTGACTGACAATTCAGGTTACCTCTTCATTCGCGTACCCATCTTCACGGACTAGAGCTATGCAGCAGCGACACCGAGCATACAAGCATTCTAGAGCAGTTCTGTGTCAGTGCTCGCGATGCACACGCTTTCATGTATTCAATTCGCCAATTGACAAGCCTGTTCGAGGGAGGTACCTTGGAAGAAACGAGCGAGAAGAGCATCGCAGGATAGATCTCCGAGAGCGTAATAGTCCGACGTCTGTGTCTTCATCACCATCGCATTCTAGTATTCCAGAACCGCATGAACCACCTGCGCACAGTGGGACATTACATTTCTCCGGAGTTTATCCCCTCGGAGTCGATGATGCGAATCCTTCACAGGTGGATAGTACGCTTCATAATCACGCAATCGGCTCTTATCACGCGCTTGACGAAACCGGATTCGATTCATCTATGCCAATGAACATCGACGAGGAGCAATCATCATCGGACTCTGCAATCCTGAATCTTCTCACCGAGCTAAAAGTCACGCTGGGCCGCAAACGCGATCAGCTTGCTGACCACGGAACGCTCGCCTTTGTTGTCCCACCGACAGAAAATTCTGTGCCTTTGGCTCTCCAGCCATCGTCAGAGCGGTCACGAGAGATAAACCGAGGCCGCTTTGCTATCTCTTACGGCAGCTTGTCGAATTCGCCTCTGTTGGAGTACGAAGAGTGGCTTGTATCTAGTTATCTTCTGGTTGAACAGCACATGAATCACTCGATTCCCCGTGTCAGAGAATATTCGTCCATGCTTCTCGATGACCTCACATTGTCATTGCTGGAAGTGGACAATTGGAAAATGCTGGAGTGGGAGAAGCAGAGGATCATCGTTCTTCACACAAGCGAGCAAAGCAAGCAGCCAAATGTGTACTCCAGAATGAATACGATCACTACAGGTGTGTGCCATTTGGTCTATAGCGCGCTTTGGTCACGGATACTATTACTGACTGTCCAATGTTGCGTAGAGAAATTCCTCAAGCCAGCATTCTCGCAATCCAATCCTATTCTCGTCGTCTGCTGCCTCCTAGTCGCCGTCCTACATATTCTATGTCATGTCTCAATCCAACGCTGCGCTTTCGTGCTCGGGAGCATCCGTATGATTCTGGAACTTGCACTATCCACTCAGCAGCCATTGACTCCGGAGGGATGGGATATTGCAGCCAGCATACCGCTAGATGTCCGCACACTACTGCGGAACATGGACATGCTTCCGATCACAAGGTCATATGTATGTTGCGAGGCTTGCTTTGCTCTATACCCTCTGCAGGCTGAGGGAGACTATCCGGACTTCTGCTCTTCGCAATCAACTGCTGGGAGTCCTCCATGCAATGCTCCCCTGCGCATCAGACGCAATCTTAAGGGCGTCATGACAGCCTTTCCGATACGCCGATATATATATCAAGACTTCAAGCATTGGCTTGGGCGGCTGCTCTGCCGACCAGGCTTGGAATCAACCCTTGACCGAGGTATTCTGAAGACCAGCAAGAAGAATCCAATGGAGTGCGGGGACATTTTTGACACAGATACTATTCAAATGCTGCAAGGTCCAGATGGTCAACCCTTTCTCAAAACAGGCACCAATGAAGGGCGATATATTTTTGGTCTGTGTATGGATGGCTTTCAACCACATGGACGAGGTGGTCCACCTACATCCATCGGAGCCATATATCTCGCCTGCATGAACCTTCCACCCGATATTCGGTACAGTCTTGACAATCTATTTCTTGCTGGCATAATACCTGGTCCTAATCATCCCTCAATGGAGGACATCAACCCAATGCTTACACCTCTGGTGGATGATTTTCTAGATTTGTGGTATCATGGAGTTCATTATACTGTCACACCTTGCCATCCATCTGGGAAGACATGCAAGTGTGCTATCATTCCTCTGATCTGTGACATACTTGCTGCTCGTCAAACAGCTGGTTTTGCAGGACACACCCATCATTATTTCTGCTCATTCTGTCTTCTTACGTTGAACAATATTGAAGATCTCAATTGGCAGGCATGGCCTGCACGTACATGTGATGAACATCGTTCACATGCTCAGAAATGGCGGGATGCATGCAGCATGGAAGAGCGTCAACAAATCTATGATGAAGCTGGTGTTCGATGGTCAGAACTTCTCCGCCTTCCATACTGGAACCCTATCAAGCACACTGCACTTGATCCGATGCATGCCTTGTTTTTGAATGCTTTTGGAACACATGTGGAGAAGATCTGGGGAGTGAGCATGGAGGTTGATGGCGATCTCCAAGGAATTACCTTCGAAACTTCCAAGCGGCCCATTACAGTGGACAAGATGCAAGCGGCATATGTGATTTTATGTACTGGATCAAGCACATCTCTTGGGAATCTGAGAGTGGATGTCCTCCGCCAGTTATGTAGGGAGCAGAAACTGCGCTTTTCTGGCAAAAAGGACATTCTTTTGAATCGTCTACAAATACTGGTATGTATTCACATCTCTGGATGTGATGCTTTACTAAAGGTATCAACTGAACAGTGTACAGAGCGTGGCTGGACCAATGACATGAGAAACCCTCTCGGAGACAATGCAACCAGCATTGAACTGCAAGAGCAAATCACAGAGGCATTAAATGCACTTGAAACGAAAGCTACATCTGCTTTGCAAAGGTACAAGCGCGATGTCTTGCAACATTTGTGCGTCCGCACATTTGGTGGTGATATCAACGATTATCAGACATTGTCAAAGGGAGAGATCATGGAAAAGCTCAGCGGATATGTGAGTATATCAACATGTAATCTTCGAACTTCAGCTAAAATCTGGTCAAAATGCTAAGCGACTGTCCCATGGCATCGTCGATCGTCATGGACAACTCATTCACCATAAAGCGAATACGTCGAATCGCCGGAATACTTCCCCAAGTGCCGAGGAATTGGCCAGGGGAATGAATGTTCTGTACGAGGGTACAAAGACAGACTTGTTGAAGCTGCCACTATCTGTGTTAGCGGATATATGTCAACAAGTCATCAATGATTTCGATAGTTCTGCACTGTCTGACAGACCCACCAAAGCGCAACTGATGCAACTGTTATTGCAATACGTGCATCCTATCGATTGCGTTACTTTGCGTGACTTACCGTATATGTATGGCTAGCGTCAAGACAATGGCCTGGGTAAAGCAGCCACGGTACAAGCATCCCATCTTGCTTGAGCTGCAAGCCTCTTCAATATTTCCCTCACAACTGGCATAATCGCAACTTCGGGTTCAGGAGCTCAACCATCGATCACGATTGGCAGCGAGAAAGTTTCGCGAGAGGAGCTGGCCAATGCGGAAGATGTACTAGAGCGAGGCAGCAAGAAGAAGTTCGCGAAATTGACGACCGCCGTATTGCGCGCTTTATGCAACACATATCTCGAAAGAATTGACTTTGAAGAGATGAGTAGGGATGCTGCGTTCTCGGCGTTGCACTTATATGTAAGTTTTCACGTCAAGCTGACGGTTGCCTAGCTGAGTGGATCCACAGCGTGTTGATCATGGGATTACAAGTGAAGATGGAAACCTCATAAACGACCAGAGGACCGCAAAGAAGAGGAGGGTGCTCGGCAAGCGGTTATTGGAGCAGATCTGGTCAGACATTGACGAAATGACCTTACCATCTTGGGTCACAAGGGTGCCGTGACGTACCGGATCCTCCGGCAAAGCCACAGGTCTCGGACTCGGTGCAGATGAATGGCGCACTTTTTGTTCCATCCATCTTACCACGTCTTTGATATACTTATGGGGCACATCACCAGAAGACGCACGAGAATCCAAGCTTCTCGTGAACTACATGGATCTGGTCACAGCAGTCAAGCTAGCGACAAAGCGGATTATTACACCGGGAACCCGTGACAAATGTCGGGACTACATACATCGCTATTTGAGTACAATCCTCGAACTATTCCCGGGGACGACTATCCGGCCCAATCAACATATGATCCTCCATCTACCGGATATTCTGGGAAACCTGGGGCCCGCGCCCTCAATTTGGTGCTTCGGATTCGAAAGAGCGAACTACATATTGCAACAGACGCTGACAAACAATAAGATGGGTAAAACCAATGTTGCTTGACTGGCTACAGCAAACACTGACAGCGGAACATGCAGAAGATCTATCATCCACTCTTTTAACGCATTTCTGTTGTAAACAGGCGCTTCGTAACATTTTCACTTCCCTCACATTGCCTCCTGCGGTCCGCCGATTAATCCCAGATTTTGTGCGAGCATTTCAGTCCAATACACGAGGATCTCTTCTCACAGAAGTCCTTGCACTGACACCATCCGAGTCTCAACAGTCCCAGTCCGAGCAATGTTTCTCCGATGGACACACACGGATCAAGATGAATGACTATGCCCTTCTTCCAGACTATATCATCGAATTGCTACGCAATCGACTGCCGATGGACTATTCACTGGCTGGAATTCAAGGCTGGACGGGATTAATCAACCCATATGTAGTCCGACTCAATAGTTTGGAGGGTCACGACACCTTGTACAGAGTGTCTGACTCTTCCCCCGGAGACAGTAATGTCATTTTCACTGCGGAGATACCGGGACAGTGGAAGGCAGGCCAGATTTCCCACATATTTCACTATGAACAAAGTCAGGGAGGGTCCACATTCATACAGAATTACCTTGTTGTGAGAGAGTTCATCTCATTGACGTCACAAGACTCACGCTTGGATCCCTACCGGAAATTTCCAATCGCTGGGGGTCTACTCTTCTACGACGCTTTCAAGCCTGAGGTCCAACTTCTCACCATAAAAGATGTACTTTGTCATTTCGCCATGCTACCGCGGCTCCTACTGGGCAGTTCAGTGAAGTGCGTTCATGTTCTTCCTCTAGACAGGGTGAGTTACACGATATTGACTATTCGAGATCTGATTGGACTGACAAACTGCAACAACAGTGGTGACTCGCACCCGTAATGGATACATGCCCAGAAAGAGATGCCCAGAAAGATACAGGGCATATATACTTGTTTGATAACCAGCACTAATATATTCGCATAGCAATGGACATACATAGTCTGTCGGAACATATATAATGATCCGCTAACGAACGTGAAGACATCGGTCGACGATTGAGAGCACAGTTCTCGGCAAGCAAGTAGTACGGTTCCATCTAGAGTCTGTGGTTTGGTGCGGGGAGACGCGTTAGGACAGACATTAGCACTGCGGCAGTAGATGCCAGCGATCGAGGGGTGTCTTGCCCTCGGCAATGGTTTGGGAACAGGTGAATGGCCGCCGGTGATTCACTCACGCTCAGGGCCGTCTTTTTGATTTTGGCGGCATAGCTATCGGTATTCATGTGCCTGATTGCCTGCCTGAATGCCCGAGGAACTCGCATCCAGAACGTAACTGTGTAAAGTCAGAACGTACCGAAGCATCATAAGTGACGACAGTAGAAGCATCAGCCAATCCCTTGCCTGCGGCCCACATGAGTATGGGAATGGTAGCAACGCGAAACAGTGCACGCGGCCTCAAAGATAGACACGTCCTTTTACGATCAATGAGCTCAATCATTCGAGCATGCATACCAATGAAAGCCTACGCGTCCAATATTGTCGGGGGGCATTGAGCCCAGTCCATCAATAAGATCAGCACACATGTCGGAGAGAACATCACCGGCATCACCATGAAGCGGTCGGCGTTAGAGACTGGGGTTTTGGACAATCTGCATGCATAACTGTAATAACGAAAATCGAGCAATCTGATATGCTCTCGGAACCATCTCTGCATGAGCTGGAGGGCTGCTAGAACGCAGATCCCCATCTACAAAGTCGGTCACATTGCGGCAAACAAGCTGCGAGATTGGCACCTCCTCGCTTCGTGTGCGCGAGTTCGCAGCTGTATGTGCACCCTCAGCATCATCCACACCAGTGTCCGCTAAAATGTCAATCTCGTCGTCACCCGTGTCCATCAACGACACGTCCATCTCGCTCGCCTTGAAGTCGTCCTCATCGTCCTCATCGTCCTCGTTCTCACCGGGCATGTAGTCCCCATCGGAAGATTCGTTGTCTGACTCGCTGACCTGACGGATGCTTGCGAAATGGTACCGCCAAATGGGGCAGGTGCCGTGCTACGCGAGAAGCTAGGTGAGTACGAGCAGAGGTAGGGAAAGGAGTACGCACTAGGCAATGGATCCATTCAATTGCACTGTATACTTTGGTGTGTGAGGAATACTCCTTGCATTGAGGGAACACATTACGCACTCTACTCGGCAGAATATGTGTCTGCAGCCTGAGAGCTTCGTGACGCGACTGAGAGGTATTTCCTGGCATACCTCTGCATGGTACGTTTTGTGCGTCCCTTCTTTCTGTACGGAACCAGAGCAGATGTCTCCGACATTATTCGAGCAATCGTGCAATCGCTTCAACTTTGCGGCTACCGGAGAGAAAACAAAATGCACAACCAGCCGATTCAAGAGCCAGCGGCTGTCGACTAGCCAGTATAGAAAGGAAGGAGAGGATTCCCATATACATACGCGGTGGTGCACGTGTGAAGCGAGGGATGTCGATTATCGACGATTGATGAGCGTTCAAAATACACTTCTACCTTCAGTCGAGCACGAAATGTGTGTAATTTCAGTATTATTGATGCACAATACCTAGAATGCACATCATGCTCAGGCGATTGACCGATAAAAATGGTCGACGAACGGACTATCCGGTAATCGGAGATCGGAGCTTTGCTGTAAGTTTCAAAGCCTGCGACGAACTATGCACAGAGGTTTCATATTGATCGACGATACCATGAATGTTTGTCTGCGCAACAGATCGGATAACAGCTCTCCGGCGAACAAGTCGCGTGCTGATCTATGATCGCCACGAGCATGTATCAAGACGACACAAAGAAGCAGCACATCACACACCCTCAAACCCGATTCCTTGATCTCTCAGATGCCGCCTTCTTTATCTTAGCATTCACCATCAAATTATGGGAAGCGAGCCCCAATCGAAGTCATCCACGTTGCCTCTAAATATCCCCAACTTGACCGCAGTTCGCTGACCGATTAAAAGACATCTCTGCAGACAGCGCTCTCATCACCATTACCTATCACATCTTGACAATATGTCGATTGCCTTCACACCCCTCTGTATCGATGGGACATCGCGTCCAGCGAGCACCGACGCGCAATACGACGTGCACAACCCGTACTCGCAAGCCGTCATAGGGCACGCAGCAGCCGCCTCCAGCCAAGACTGTCACGACGCCATCGACACGGCCGCCGCTGCCTTCCCTGACTGGGAGCACTCGCCTCTAACCAAAAGGCAAGACGTATTCATCAAAGCTTCAGAGCTCCTCATGACGCCCAAGTATCAAGAGAAAATCTCCAAAGCGTTGAAGGAAGAGCTGGCGTTTACCGATTTCATGGTAGGCTTCGAGGTGATGGCATCGGTCTACAACCTGCGCCACAACGCCACGCTGGTCCATCAGCTCAAGGGAGAGGTCAAGCCTTCCTTGATACCTGGCGGGCAGATGATGATACAGAAAAGAGCCATGGGAGTCATGTACGCGAAAAGCGGTCCTCGAATGGCCTTTCCCACTCACTCATCGGACCATGTAACAGCCTTGCGCTCGCACCATGGAACGTGCCCTTGGCGTTGGCTTTCCGAGCCGTTCTCATTCCTATCATCTGTGGCAATACAGTCGCGCTGAAGTGCTCTGCAGTCAGCCCTCGAATTCAAAGTCTCATTGGCCAAATATTCCAGGAGGTACGCACAAGCACCGTTCTGTCTTCATGTCAATATCTAAATGATGGATCGACAGGCGGGTCTGCCAAAAGGTGTTTTGAACACCATCTCCATAGCGGAGGAGGACATCAGCAAGCGCATGGCGGAGATGATCGATCATCCAGCTTTACGAAAGATCAACGTAAGAGACTCTCTTTCAGGTACAAGCTTCCGCTCACATCTGTGAATGAACAGTTCACAGGCGGTCCGAATGTGGGCAGAGCCATCGCAATGGAGGCTGTGAAGCACCTGAAGCCCTATGTGCTGGAGCTCGGCGGCAATTGCCCCGTCATCGTATGCAACGTCCCGTCTGATCTAAAAATTCAAAATCCTCAGCATCGTTCGCAGGTCCTAGAGGACGCAGACCTCGAATCTGCAGCACAATCAATCACCACCGGCGGCCTGATGAATTCCGGCCAAATATGCATGTGGACTCAACATGTCATCGTCCAGCGTGGTGTCCTACGCTCTCTCACCTCCTCTCTGGTCAAAAGCTTTGGTTCCTTCAGCCGGAGGACCTGACGAGGCATTATCATCATTAATATCAGAGGAATCAGCAGAGCGCGTGCTCAAGATCATCCGTGAGGCAAAGGACGCCGGCGCGCGTATTCTGGTCGGCGACATGGCCAGACAAACCTCAGTGGTCCAGCCACACCTCCTCGCCGACGTCAAACCAGGAATGGCGCTCTGGGATGAGGAGTGCTTCAGACCAGGTGAGGCAGCGCTCGATGAACAATAGACAGACCCCTTTATTTAGCGTCGTCGCTCCAGTCGTCACTCTGACCGCAGTGGATACCATCGACGAGGCAGTGCGGTTGGCGAATACATGCGATTATTCCCTAATGGCAGGGTTGTGGACTCAAAACATCCACACCGCGCTCGAGATAGCTCCGCGCGTCCGGGCAGGTAAGGCACATATGTTTTCAACTGAAGTGCTCACAATCATGATGGGTCCTGAACTACAGGATACATCAATATCAACGGACAGTCGGTGCACGGCGAAGGACCCATGGGAGGCCTCAGGTAAGCATGCATTTTCAGGAATAACATTGGGCATGAAACTCACACTTTTCGTTCGAAACAGCGGCCTCTTGGGTTATGGCCAATTCACGATATCTGAGTTCACAGATGACCGCGTACTCCTGCTGCATCCGCAAACATCACCTGTATACTGGATCGCTGGGGCTGCTTGAAGCAGATCATAAGCAGGAGAGGATGTGCTCTGACTTGATCCTGGGTTTTTGTTTTCGCAGTGCTCACATTTGTCGACGAGACGCGGTTACCACTGCAGACATCAGCGGACCAGCTTTCCTATCCCTAGACGCAGGCGGCGCTTGAGGCGAAGAACACGGTGCTCGAGCAGCTGTACGCAGAGTGATTTCGAGTGGAGTTTCTTTTTCCGTTATAGAGCTCTGTTGTTGGCTATTTTGAACGTAAGACCAATGCGAAAGCATGGCTAGAGAATAAAGCAGCTGTTAGTTCCATAAGTTAGATCGAACTTCAAGGTTGCGCCTCACGGAACCTTGCGCATTGGCATCGCCAATAACAACGCACGAAGCCGAGGTCTTCACGTAAACATCGTGTCCATGATGGACGCACTTTGCCATTGCTTGCGATGCACTCCAAACACATGTGTGCTGCTGCTCAGCGACATCATGCCACCACCTCGAGTATGGATGTGGCGTGGGAAGGAGTCTCCAGGCAGCATCCTCTAGCAAATTGGCGCGCGACATCATTCTCATCGTTGAGCATCTTCAAAGGCCACACATCCTGCCATCATCGCCGTAAGGTCACATCTAAGATATAAAGTGGCCATCGTTCCCGCTTCAGAACGTTATCACGGCCCTAGATGACCCAGCAACCGAGGTGTCATAACGCCCCAGATCGCACATCGGGCATTGTCATGTGCTTCCCATCTCAAACCTTTAAGTTTGCGCCCAATCCTCCGACGATTTTGATCGTGCAAGCTCATCTATGCAGAACAATATGAGCACCGTTCACAGTGTGAGTAGTATGCACCTTTCGCATTTTGTATCGTGGTAGGCGGTCGCTTATTTATGTACTTGATCAGAGCAACTGGCATCCATTGTTCACTACTGAGGATGCAGGCACCATTACACTATCATCACAGGATGCCAACTTGTTCCGCATTCACCTATACACGTTGAAGCGCGCTTCAGGGTGGTTCGCTGCAATGTCCAGCTTGCCCCAAGGTCCTGGCACCATCTCAGACGATGTCCTTCACCTGGACGAAGATTCAACGGTGCTCATGCCCCTTCTACAGGTGATTTCTGGAATGGAACTGCCCGATTTAAGCTCGCTGGATCTCGTAGAATCCATTCTCTTAGCTGCAGAGAAGTATGACATGCCAGGACCCGTCTCCATTATACGAAACATGATCACCAGCTATCTATCCGAATCAACCGCACTGCGAGTTTATCGCCTTGCGGGCGCACATTCTTGGAAGGCGCAGGCGCAGTTGGCATCATCATACACTCTTTCGCTCGATCTATCTACCCCAACGGCGATAGCAGAACTTTCCCGCATGGAAGGGTATCTCCCAGCGCAACTTTTCCTACTGCATAGACAGGGGAAAGACGCACTGAAGAAAGCACTGAACGATGTTACCCGATTTGCTGCCAATACCAAAGAAAACTGCGAAGGTTGCCGACGATCACCTGATCATGCTCAGTGGAGGAATTTGAAGGAGTTATGGTTATCGCGTGCAGATGAGGCTCCATTCGGTCGCACAATTAGTGCCGCACAACTCATCGCACCGGAGGTGCTCTCAGTAATCGAGGCGACATGCCCTTCTTGCCGCAGGAGGCTATACAATGCAGATATGACATTCAACAATCTACGGGATGCAGTGAACAACTTACCCCAGACTGTCATGGTGCGTCCGCGGATACGTTTGCGATACTCAGTGTATTCACGTCATGTTCGTAGTTTGCATAGCGGCTCAAAAGGCCATTCACACAGTCTGCACAGATGGGGAATTTGGAGAAGGCTCACGCGGGCTATCTATGTGCTATCGCGTGTGGCGATCATACGCCATAGTGCGCCCTTGGGGAGCGCCATTGACCATCTTTTTCTTACGCCCACTAAACCACCTCCGATCGCTTGCCAAGTTGACGTCCCAACAGACCAAAGAGATCCCGTGTATGCCGTGTATAGTAACAATCATGTATGATACGTCGATCCGGTACAACAGTAGCGCAATCGGTTGTTGCATAAAATATGTTCTTTCTCTATCCTAGTGGTACCTATGCGAGATAAATGATATATGCTGTACACGTTTACCTCGAGAACATCACTGCAGCAAACCTCATCAATCAACTGCTTGAAACCTGGAGAAGCTTCTTCGCGTCGTTTCGCTCGTTCAAAGCAACTTCCAGCTGCTTCTGCGCTGTCTCGCGTCGCATGTATTCGATTTCTCTCGGCGACTGGTCGGACAGTTCATTTCGAAGCTTCTGATGCATGCCCGTAGTCGTGGAATCGGGCAAAAGCACGTCCTCCAGAGACGTTCGTGAATCTCGCACGCTGCAGCTCTGCCTCGAGCTCCGATATGCATTGCAACGTGGAGGAGAGCTTGTGATTCGACGAGGTGACAGCTGACGGGAAATCATTCGAGACGTGCAGGGTTTGCTCTGCACTCAGAGCAGACGGTTCATCCATATCTGCATACACGGCGCCTTGTCAGACATACCGATGACGGTGAATGAAAAGAGGTGTGTGATTACCTGTTAAATTGCTTTCGAATGCATTCTTCTCCTTCCTGAAGTAGTCGTAGAACTTGAGAAAGTCGTGTTCATCTAAGATACGGCCTTTATAAGGACACGGGGTAATCCAACAACATTCAGCGTTACTCACCGGAAAGAGGCGTCGTGACAAAGCCGTGCTCCTGAACAGAAGATTTCCCATAATAGTCGTCGTCTGGAAGGCCGAGGTGTGCTTCATATGCAGCTTTCCTCTCGCGCATGTCTTGCATATCGTACGCCAACGTGCCCCGCGCCTTGGGCTCGTCTTCACTCTCCATAGATTCTGCAGTACTCGACGATGTGTCAGACGATACCGACAACGAATACGGCCGTCCAGAAGGTGTCGCATATGACGGGACTTGCAGACTATCATCATGTGTAAGCATGCCCTCGCTCCACTGGGGTGGCAAAGACAAACGCCGTAAGCGTCCTGAGCTCAAGCGTCGTACTAAATTTGATTGGAGCGCATCGCTATCATTCTCGTCGCCGCCGAGCGGATTTTCGGATATAGCATTCCAGCGGTTGAGCAACCACATCATAAGCGATCTCGCAGCATTCTTGCTGGGCCCGCCGAGCAGACGATGAGCGAAAATCCGTGCGATGTCTTCGTACGAGAGACCGTTATCTGGGCACAGAGGAATCTGCGTGAAGAAGGCGAAGAAATAAGCGAGCAATGACAGGCTCTCCGGCGGAAAGAGCTGCAGGATGTGTCGAGTGACAGCAATACGCCGACGCTCCTTGTCCGCGTCCTCACGCTCCTGCTCCTGTGGTGTCTTTGTGTTCGCGCTCTGGGACAACGAGGGGGGCGTCTTCGGTTCCGACAGGGAACGCCTCCGGAACATTCGGGCAGGCGCGCGCACTCTCGCTCTTCGCGTCCTGAGCATCCTGAGCATCCAGAGCATCCTTCTTCTTCTCGTCCTCGCTCATCTCCGCTTGTACGCACCACGTCCACAGAGCATCGTGCATCGTGCGATCGAAGAGCGGCTCGGGGAGGGAATTGATGTATGATGTCAGCACAGCGCATATATCAGCCATCGGAGCATGGCGTAGCAATGGTGAGCGGGACACGTTAGCATTCGTGTCGAATGCGCGGACCAGCTCTACGAGATTTGCGCGGTTAGGGAGTGCACGAAAAAGGTCGGTTTGGTAGATGCCTATGTATATGCGTCAGCCTGACGTTCGTCACAAGTAAGCGGAGCAGCCAACCTGTTCTGTATAGCTCTTCCACACAAGTATCGTATTTGCAGGAGAGCCACTTACAGCATCCCGAAGAGATGCATCAAATATCCCCGCTTCACGAGTAATCACGTTAGCCAGATCAGATCGATCAACGATAGCAAAACGACATACGAGCTCGCTCCTTCCCCATCTCCGCCGCCATTGCTCATCTGTCCAACCACTCCTGCCGCTCCCGCTCCTCCTCCTGCTTCCGCTCGAGAAACTCATCCATCTCGATGTAATCATTCACGTCCTGGCGACCCAGCTGCAACAGCTGCAAGAGGGATAGGAGCACTCCACGGGCTTCTGGCTGCTGGAACGGTGGCGCATCGCGCGGCTCGAGCGTGCCCTCGTGCATGTCGTGCTGCCACAGCATACTCGAAGGGCCCGGGTCGTCCAACACGTACGGGGTGTGGCCCGCGATGCGCATCGACCGCGCACGTCTATGCCTGGCACCATCGTTGCCGCCCTCGTTGAGCAAGTCTTCCTCCGCCACCTGCCCAGGAGCGGCAGGAGCCCATGAAGCTGCCCGATGTCACGACGAAGCTACACCAGGTGGGAGCTGGCCACATGCTCTCGCGAGGCGGTCGTACTCGGTGTCAATAGAGTGGACCATGCTGAGCTTCGGGTTTGCAAGCGGGCTACGGGAAGAGAGAGGAATGCGAGCGAAGGACGATGCTAGAGAGGAAGGAACGTGATCCCCTTGCTGGTAGTCTGCATGCAAGGGGCTCAGCGGCTCGGAATAAGCGTCAGAGAGGTGGGACGAAGGCAGAGAAGAGAAGCGTGGGTAGCTATGGACAGAAGAGACATTCGGCACCGAGAGACGCTTGTCATTGCGCATGTCGAGGTGTAATAGAGCGGGATGGGTGAGGCATGTCTTTCGGCAAAACGTGTCGGAGAAGGCGCAGCATATGGATCAAGGTTTAGCTGCGTCCGATGAAGAATCCCGCGTGACGTATGTGGAGATCTTCCCTCTTCCTGCTCCTTTCCAGCGACGGATCCTCTTTCCCTTTGAGGCCGCTCCGTCATCTGTGGCAGAGCATCCTTCACAGAGAACCGTACAGCGGGCATACGCGCTTCCACAGCCAACTGAGCGGCTTCGGTCGCACAGGACGCTCTGCGTGGTCGAGAGTTGACTGGCATAATCGGAAGCAGAAACGATTCAAGAGCGAACAATCCTGAGACCTGCACAGGAGTAAGCTGGTAGAACGAAGAGGATGCGGAGGCGGATGCGGACGGCAGGAGGGTAGGGGTGGAGCGAGGATGCAAGCACCGCGGAGCATCTGCCTCATGAAGCAGACCGAGTGGCACGCTTGGCTGGGCGGCGGTTCGAGATTAGGCCGGGCTGGCTCACGTTCGGATTCTGACTGAGCTAGCCAAGGAAACTGAGCGAGACCAACATGCGCACAAATGCGGGTGACACGAGATTTAGTGGAAATGCTAGTCGGGATCACAATTTGATCGAGATCGCATGAGCTTCAACCCCTTTTCTCTTCCCCCTGTCCTTGTCGTACAAACGGCAGATGCCAAGGCTGGGACGGCTGTAAGGGTGTTCCATCCGCAGCAAACATACATCCTCCAACTCTCCGGAGAAGACGAGCCCATCGACTGCCTACGAGCGCGGGTTGAAAATCTGAGGTCCGACGTCGGAAACAATCCTGCATTCGCACAGAAAACAAGGAAGCTTGATGCTAGAAGAATCTCGACCCGCAATACGTCCAATTGGACGCGAGCGCTGCCAGAGTTATGCTAGCAAGTACCGCAGGGCCAATCATATCCCGCTCAAGAGTTCAGCCAGGAAGTGTTCCCCTATCGTGGCTCAGCATTCAGGGAATCTTAAGACGCGAGGCCAAAAATAATCGTAACGGTCTGGATGTCTGTATCGCAATTCAGATCTTGCCCAAATCACATCGCATTTTCAACACTCTGCATTCCAGTGACCGAACGTTGCTCCACTCACCGATCGGTCAATCGTGCTCTATCTTTCCGACTCGCAAATCGACAGAGCTCTCCCGGTGGCTGAGCCGCCATTACACGGTGCCTTGCGGACATCTCAGCGAGTCCCATGAATGATTGCCATGCTGCGTGGTGTCGATCGAGACTATCAGTCTCGACCCCGGCCTTGAAGCCCGCCTAACCACTTCGGATTTCCTCGAGAGTCACTGGAACCACCTGAGTGCCACCGAACGAGAGAATATTCAACAAATAGAAGCCATGAACGAGCCAGTTTGGAAGCGTGATATAATCAAGTCGAGAAGAGGTCCATCGATGCGTGGAGTCAAAGCGGGCATACACCGTCAAACACCGTCAAACACACTCGCACCCCGGGCGTGATGTGACATACGTGCACGTGAATGCGGTCACGTCGCGTCGGTCAGGGCGCGCTTGTGGCGCGCCCCTTAACCCGTCTAAGCGCGTTCGACCATCAACGTAGTCGTAAGCACACCACTAACTAGAGATATCGATCGCAGTGAGATCGAAGGAGCGTTCTCTGCTTTTATGGGCTTTCGCTCAGTCATGCTTCCCCTTCTCACTCCGACGGAATCATCATTCCATAATGCGCACTTAAAAATATTTATTGACCACCCACTGCCAACGTATTCCTGTTTCACGCTAGTATCTCCTCCAGCGTCTCAATGATTCTGTCGATCTCGTCCACCGTGTTGTAATGTACCAGAGAGATCCGCACTACTCCATCCTCCATCTCGAGCCTCGGCTGTAGTGTGTCCACCAATGTGTAGGCATAAAAATGTCCATAACGGATGCCGATCTATACGAGCGGATGAATGTGCGACCATCAGCCAAAATCGGAGGAAAACACGTGCGGGGCAGTGACTACCGCCTTCCCGCTAGCAGTACTGGTCACTCACTTCTCCCCTGTCATCAAAGCCGCGCACGACATCACTGCTTCTCATAGCCCGCTCCCCGACCACTGCGAAGCTTATGGTCGGCACCCTGCTCAGACTCTCTCTTTCATCGCTTACGATTTTCACCCCTCTACTCTCCTTGCTGCGCAAGTACGCGAGCAGAGGAGCGATGAGTGTCTGCTCGTGCTTTGCAATCGCATCAAAAGCGTCTTCGAGGGATGAAGAAGGCGTGAGCGAACGTAGATAAACTGGGACGGCGGTGCATCCGTATACAACCTCGTATCCTGGGCCCCCGGGCTGAAGCTTATAGGGCTTCAACACAACTTGAGGTGCAAGGAAGTGATGTGCGAGTGACGAGAGTGATTGTCTCAGTGAGGTGGTGTGAGTGTAGAGCACCGAGGCATGCGGGCCGTATACCTGCATGGGTTGGACCTCAGTAGGTCTTCGCAACCATATCGAATAACTTGCCTTGTACATGGAGAATACACAGTAATCGACATCCCAATCGCGAACGTCCATCCGTCTATGCGGAGTATACGCGACGCAATCCACACAGACCTCAACCTTTCCCGCTCCCAACTCCTTTGCCCGTCTTCTCACCGCTTGTACTACTTCCTTCACCGGGGCGATGGATCCAAGGATGTTCGAGCATCCGATGAATGCGACCAGCTGTGTCTTGGTGCTGATCAGCGGGAGCAGATCGTCCAGTTGCAACGACACCGCGTAAGGATCATTGGGATATGCAGAGATGTGCGATGCGTTCCAGGTCTTGATCGTCGCTCCTCTGCGAGCTGCAAGTCTCTTCCATGGACCTCCATTCGCTAGAAAAGATTGACGATCAGATCAGTCTGATCCAGCCCCATCAATAACGCTAGAACGCGGGCACGCGCATTCATGTTTCCCAGTGATGATCAGCTCACACCCCGCATGCACATCTATCTCCATCGCATGCGCCAAGTTCTCCACAAGCATCGTCGCACTGCTCCCAACACTAGTGCAAACGCCACTTCGTCTACGCTCTCCGCGTTGAACAGCTCCCGTGCGGCGTCCGCGTCAGCCGCAACACGCTCGGTGCTTGCAACCGAGACTGCGTAATCCACGCCGAGCTTGACATTCGTGTGCAGAAGGTAGTCCGAGATACGGGCAACGGCGTCTGCGAGGCATTGCGAGCCGCCGGCGTTGTCGGCGTAAATGAAGGTAGTTGTCGTTTCTCACCACCCTTTCTCGATCTCAACTTTAGAAGGCACGTGGCCCTCCTCAGCTGGCTTATCGGATCCTTCAAAAGTGAAGACGGGTTCCCAAGCCCCCAATCTCAAGCGTCCACGTCCGTCCTCAGCCAACATGGATGCTCCCCCGCCTGTTCCCAAGCTGCCTGGTGACATCATCCTGGAGGTCTTTAGCCACAGGTCTCTGCGCTTCCCTGGAGCCCAGACCAACGAAGAGTCCGACTGTGGCGACAACGAACGCCTATCGATGCTGGGTGAGAAGGTGTTGGACACTGCGGTGACGTTCACCCTCTTCAATAAGAAACCGTTGCGAACGCACAGGACATCGAGGTGCGTTACATGCATTGCAGGGCCCTGCGACGTGCTGATCGGTCGTGATCGCGACTAGTCCCAGCGCATGGAAATCCTCTCGGAGGCGAATCTGAACAAATGGGTCGCTAACTACAAGCTCAGAGAGAAAGTACGCTGCAGCTCTGATGCACTTGCCAGCCTCACAAGCCCGACAGTGAGTCTTGCATATCCTGCACCGCATGCCGCATTGTCGACGACAGATCGCAGGAAACACATTTGCTCTTCTGTTCGTATGTCGGTGCAGTCTATGTGCAGAATGGGGTGGAGACGGTGCAGAACTGGATCGGGCATCTCATCGACCCGGACTACGAACTGTCCGTTCCGGCTGCCGGCGGCGAGCCATACACGTACAAGAGAGTCAAAACCGAACCTATGAGCTCGCCGACACCCCCTCCTTTCATGGCTCCACTGCAGCCATTTCCCATTGACCTGCTTGCCCCTGCGAAGGGCCAGTCCACGTTTTTGCCGCTGTTCAACCAGACAGCGAACCAGCGCAGGTTGGCGGTTGATTACCCGGCGCAATTTTCAGGCCCTCCACATGCTGGGCGTTGGACGGTTCAGTGTGTTGGTGCGTAGCTCACACGCCTTTGTATCCGGCCGTGGATTAGTAACCTTCGAAACACATTGAACGGTATCCCCAAAGGCGAAGGTTCCGATGCTAGCAAGCAGCTCACCAAAGGGGAAGCGGCGAGACAGGCATACTACGCGATGGGATGGGCACCTCTTGAGTGCCCTCCGATTCCCACTCTCGATGTCCATGATGCGGGAAGCGGGTCAACGATGGGGAGTGGGAGCGGGAATGGTGGGGGATCGAGCATAGGCAGGACGAGCGAGTCAAGCGCTGGCTCGGGCACAGGTTCATCAAGCGCCCGTGCGGGCGCTTCCTCCTCGTCCTCATTTTCCTCTTCCACTGAGGGCTCTGCGCCGCTGCTGAGGATCGGCGTGGGCCAGGCGGCGGGTTCTGGTACGGAATCTGGCTCTGTCTCCGGCGGGGACGCGCCCTTTTATGTGGGTGTAGATGGCTTGGGCGCGACGGCCACTGCCGGCAACCTCGTATCGGTCGGGATGCCTGCACCCACCTCAAGTTCGACCTCCTCTGGCAGCGCAGAGAACGTGCCACCGGTTGTGGTCGATGCAGGTGCGGATTCTTCTGCCGGGTCGTCTGCTTCCACTAACTCTGGCGGATCCTCTGGCTCTGGTTCTGGCAGAGACGCGAATGCTGCGCTCACCTCTGTCGGTGCAGATGCGTCTGATGCGACTGCCACTGTAGGCGACCTTGCGTCCGCCGGTCTCACGGCGCCCGCCGCACCTGCTGCTTCATCCAGCTCAATCTCTTCTGGCAATGACGCCAACTCGCCCTTCACAGTCGTCAACGCAGGCACATCCGGCGCGTCACCGTCCTCTGATGGTGCTCCCTCCCCCAGTGTGATTGGGACCCACTCTGGTGAGAATTCAGCTCTCATCTCCGTCGGCGCAGACAACTCAGGCGTAACCGCCACTGCAGGTAACCTCGCCGCTTCCATCGCACCTGCTGCCTCCCCCTCCTCTGGCTGTGGATCCTCTAACGACGCGAATGCTACGCTGGCAGTAGTCAACACAGGTCTTCCTCCTCCACGCCCTCGTCCGGCTCTGGCTCAGGTTCAGATGCACTCATCTCCATCGGCGCAGATGACTTAGGCGTGACCGCCACTGCAGGCAACCTCACCTCGATTGACCTCACTGCTCTTACCGCACCTGCTGCCTCCCCTGCCTCTAGCTCCGGCCTCGGCTCTAGATCCTCTAACGACGCGAACGCCCTGCTGGCAGTAGGCAATTCAGGTTCTTTCTCCTTCACGCCCTCATTTGGCTCTGGCTCAGGTTCAGATGCGCTCATATCCATCGGCGCAGATGACTCAGGCGTGACCACCGCTGCAGGCAAACTCACCTCAACCGTTCTCGCTGCTCCTCCCGCACCTGCTGTCTCCCCCGCCTCCGGCTCCGGCTCCTCTAACAACGCGAATGCCCCACTGGCAGACGTCAACGCGGGTTCTTCCTCTTCCATGCCATTGTCCGGCTCTTCTGACTCTGATGCGAACTCGGCACTCATCTCCGTTGGCGCAGACAACTCCGCCGTAGCTGCCACTGCAGGCGACCTCACCTCGGTCGGCGTCGCCGCGCCCACACCTGCCCCCGCCGATACTTCTTTCTCCTACACTACCTCCTCAGACTCATCAGATCGGCTCATCGTCGCGAATATTGATTCCGAGCCTGGCTCCAGCTCCAACTCGGGCTCGAGCTCTGGATCCGGCTCTGGCTCGGACGCGCTCATCTCGGTTGGTCCGGGCTCGGAAGGAGTGACTGCTATCGTTGGCTTCCTTGCTTCTGTTGCTTTATGAATGCCGACATTGTGCATACTTTCCATCTACATGAATACCCCGTCTTGAAATGGACTTGCATTTGTACGTCTCAAACTTCTCTCATATTTGTTTCATGTCTGACTTCCTCTCTTCTGGACTTGTATGCTTTTCAAACCACCACCACCCCCCACCCTACCTCTTTCCTGCATTTTGTAATACCCGCGTACGTGGGCTGATCACCTGCATTGTATCTATATGATTTTTGCTCAACCTTCCCTTCGTGTGCATCTGTATTTGCTTCTGGCTTGCGACGCCCTGCATATGACTGGCATCTCTTTGTACCAGTGGCGCTATGTACAATGCGGACAACCTCTATATGAACTCTGAGCATCGCTCTACCTGTTGCGCTTCCCGACACAAATCAAAAGCTGCTATCATGGAACTTACTGAGCCATAGTGTGCGATGGAGGCCCTATGAATCACTGCTGCAACGTTTGAGCGAGATCGAACACAATCTGCTCAAAGCTAGAGTATCGTCCACGCACGCAATCAGCTGGTCAGAAAACCATCGGGGTGTCTGTGGCACTGGCATAAAAGCGCATAGAAACAATGTGTTCCTTCAGAGAGAACAAGTGCGAGCCATAAACGATGCGTCGCCAACCGAAACACCGTCTACCGTACACGCACTGAATTTAGGTCACAATCAATCGAGCCAACTAAACTGGCTAGATTTGTTAACCACAGAGTCAGCATGTACAAGCCAGATGCACCAATGCTTATCGCTCGACAATTAATGGATCAGTATCCAGCATCAGTTGAGAATCAATCGACCAACGCACAGAAGACTCCCTGCTTGCGCCCGACGTGCTAACAGGCTCCAATGTAATAAGCAGAATATAGGTGAATCCAGTCAGCGGAGGCAGAATTCAAATCACATCGACGTCCCATCCGAGCTGCCGGATCTACAGCGCACACCCGCACTTTTCGAACACCTCGTCCTTTCCTCTGGCCAAGTCGGCCGAGTGCAGGCACACCTGCGACACGTTACTTTCAATAAAGTAGCCTATGTAGTACGTCTGAAGCGTGCGGCACAATCTCCCGCTCCCAGCCGGAAAGAAGCGCACTTCAGCAAAGGTCAGGTCAACCGCGCCTTCAGTTCAAAGAGAGGACATCACGTAGAGACGCAGTGGCGGGCAGGACTAACAAAGATGAGCCGCTTGTCTCCTTCATTCGCATGCTCGTCTCTCCAACGACGAATGAATCGACGACGAGTGACGAACAATGATTAATGAATGAACTCTGATGCGCGATGTGTACGAACCGGATGGGAGCCACACGGATGCAACGTAGGCAGAGATGCGAGGGTGCGAGACCACGAGGAGGGAGGTGGAAACTGGCGTGCAGCAAGGCGCCCAGTGCACCCGCTCACTCGTACCCCGCAATTTGTTCAGAGTCAATGCATCATACATTATGCGTCACCCCCCGACGCGGACGCTGCTGCCAGCCCAGCACGCACACCAGCATCCGTGCTGGCGGGACGTCACCCGTTCTCCTCACTCCCCACACGTTTGCCACTCACGTACCCGGCCTTCCTTCATGACCTCACCTACAGCTCCAACCGATCTTCTCATCGATCTGCCTCTGCTCCCTCGTGGGTTCACAGCCATGCACCGAGGCACCGATCGCGGACCTGCGTCCTCGGTCGATCAGGATCTCGGGGTCACCGACACGATGAGCACGTCGACGAACATTTGCAGTCGTATTATCCATATCCGATGTATTTCGGGTATCCTGGGGAGGACCAGGTTGAGGTGGCAAGGAACGGCGACAATTGGTGCAAAGATAATCCGAACTTAGCTGTAAATATGCTCCTTCAATGGGCCAGTGTGGAGTTGGGTGTTGGGCATTGCAGTGGGCAGCCGATGCCCCATTAAACCAGATTTCAGAAGTTCGCACACGCGTGAGGAGCCGAGCGTGAACGCCACCTTCAGCCACATCAGCCACAGTGGGGTCTGAAAAGCAATGCAAACCTTGCTTAGGTGTCATCCCCCTCCTCGTGGATGAGCCAGAGCCATCTGAGGATGCGCCAGGGTTCGTGCCTGACCACTCTCACTGTATCCAGCTCCCATCCAGCATGCGTTCAGCACTGCAATCGCGCTCGGCGTCGAGTATGGCGCGCCATTAATAATGGAGCTCTTCACGTCCTCCAGCGTCAGGTCCCCGAGGAATCGAGGTCGCTTTTCAGTGACGGTGACCATCACAACAGGGAGCATCTGCATCACAGTGACAGAGGCGCCGGTGGTTAGGTGAGTGAACATACCAGCATCGACCCGACAAGGGACGAGTGCAAGCAGACGCTTCGCGTTGGCTTTGGCATTCATCTGCATTGCGGTTGAAATGTTGTTCGTGTGAGTGGATCCTTCATCGGTCACATGGCTCACTTGTCTTCAGTCTCGTGGTTATACTGGTATTGCAGTTCAGCAACGGAAGAAGGTAGGACGTATCGAGCGATGTAGGACATTGACTAAGAAGTACATGAACAGTCTGAATATATAGAAGAGCCAACACGGACGGAGAATTGAGATTGCTGTTTGTGCCTCGCTCACCCATTCACTGCACCTCATACACGCTGCGCTCGCCTCCTCGCTCCACCGTGCATGCCACGCCATGCACCTCCACTGACCGGTATCTGCGCCTCTGCTACCCCGCCTACGTGTGATGTGTGCACGCATGCCCACTTCGCATCTCTCCAACCTTGCGACTGGAGGGGATGGCCGATCCGGAAAATGTGGCTCGTTCTGTGCTCTCCAACAACGACGGGGTGCTGATGGTATGTCACGAAAGGATCATTCATGTAATCCTCAAGCTCTTGATAGGTGATGGAATTGAGAGAAAGGGTATTCAATATTTCCAGCAGTCTTCGCGTGAACATGCCTGTCCCTTTCATTTTGCTGGCCCTCTCGTCGGAGCGACATGCCGCAAGCAACATGTGTGATTCCTTATACGGTTGGTATAGAGAATCGGTCGCAGACCCGGGGCTCCACCGCTTCCACTGGTCTGCTTCAGCGGCATTGATGAGGTCCTCGTGCGTGAGCTGGAGAGGAGGTCTGCTGCGAACAGTATGGTTCTGCGGGGAAGAGCCATCACGGGTGGACTCTGCTGAGTAACAACAGTCCGTCACAACCGTGATGTTTCCTCCGTTCGCATCGCAAAGCTCCTTCAGGAACAGATTGATCTGGCGATCGCTGATGTCAACAACGTGCGTGCCGTCTGGCAATTCGAAACCGCTATCAACCAGCTTGATTGCCTTCATGGGTTCGCGTACGTGCGTTTCATAAATGGTGCCATGACCGGCAAAATAGATGATGATGGCATCTCCGCGATGGATTCGGTCGTTGTCGTGGAGATGAGTATGAAGAGATTTCACGATCTCATCTCGTGTCGCAGCGGCATCCAGCAAGATGACCATGTGCTCTGTAGGGACTTGCACCGAAATCTTGAGGGATTCCGCGATTTTCTTAGCATCACCAGTTGCCCCATGTAGAGATTTTTCGCATAAATACTCATTGATACCGATGATGACAGCAAATATCTGCATGTTGTCTGACGCGGCTTCCTGGAAATATACTATGTTAATTTGTGCTGCAAGATCTATATCCTCAGTAGGCACAATGGGAAATCAGTCTGACACAGCCATTCATATGTGTCATCTGCAGGAGAGGCTGGCAGCAACAGCTCAAGCATAAACAGACAGTAATGGGTTACGGAACAGCAGTAATGGTTATAAGGTGGTAGGGCGATGCCACCATTCACGCATTGTGATGGCTGAGCACAGCCACAAACTTCGAGACGCCCTCCGGATCAGGATTTGGGCGCTCTACCAGCTTCGGAACAGCGGATCCCGGGCTAATTTCGCTAGGCCAGGTGTTGGTCGGATGGTCGTCCTTGCGGCCTGCGGCCCTTGTAGCCTTCATCCGGCCTTCAGAGCATCGCGACAGCGCCCATCGCCGCTGATCAAGATTGCCCATCATGTGCCAATTTCGTTTCCATACCAGGTCATCGCCACATCCATCCAGCGCGCTCGTCACCGCCGCATCTCATTGACGACCACTAAGATCGTATCTGCCATCCTTCCATCGTGCTGGGCAAGCGTGATGTCGCAATTATGCGGCGCAGGCACGTTGGGTACGTGGATCACCAAGCAGGCGCATCCGATCAACATCCAAGTGCAACATCGCGATGCTCAGCACTCGTGGGCATGATAGGATCGCCAACACAGCACACATGTGCCGATCCTGCAAACACGTTCACCAGTGCGGTTGATCCGAATTGCGAACGCAAGTTTCCCTCATGTCGGTGCATATCATCCAAAACCACCGAGCCCGGATGCAGTCGGCTGCTGCCTGATCGTAAGTGCATGATGTCGGATATTGAGACACGCCTCGGGCCCGCCTGTCAGATGACACCTGCAAATGACTGTCATGATGCCTCAGAGGTGCCTCGCGGGACCAATCTCACTGCATGTGGGAACAATTAGCGTGATACAGGGCACAGATAAGCCGTACGAGACTCTCTCTGCGCTAGGATATCCCGAAATGAAATATGTATTCAGGGGCTTGAAATGCGAAGTCCTTCACAATGTACTACTCGTTCCTCGTAGCTAATGTATGACACCAAGCCGAGAGGGAAGTAATACCACAGGGAAGACGGAGACGAGTATGGCTATAGCAGTGCATTGCAGAGGGAACGAGCATGGCTATAGCAGTGCATTGCAGAGGGAACGGAACTCGACAGAAGAGAGAAGCTTCGGACGATAATGGAGGACGTATACAGGGGAAACGTCGGAGTTCATAGATCACGCATGGCTTGTGCTCGTGCCTACTGTACGCTTTTCATCTCATGCTATCTCATCCCATCATCTCATACCGCATTGTGCTCGTGCCTACCGCACGCTTTTCATCTCATCCTACATAGGCTATCTCATCTGTTGCTCTGTCGCTCTCCATCATCTGTCGCTCTGTCGCTCTCCATACACTCGCAATCACTCGCAATACTCTACAGAGATCCGGTAAGCATTCAATCATTGATCATTTACATGCATGCTAACTTTGTGTCAGCTGAAAAATGGGAGATCACGGCCAGGCATGATATCACAGCATGACAACCAATTTCGACATACTGAATTTTTTGGTACAGCCCAGTGGCAATATCCACATGCCACAAGGTGCTCAACCTCAAGCTGATGCACCCATCCCGCGGGCACCTGTGCCAAACAATCAAAACAATGTGCCTCTTCCGATGGCACTTATGCCGCAGCAGGTGGATGGCTGTATCAACTTGTGCAAAATCGTGGTCTACATCGCCTGCATAATTTTCATTGTTATGTGTACTTCTTTCGTCATTATCATCATAGGTTTTATACTTTACATCAAACCGACCACATCTCGTATATCTTCCAATTGACGCTGCACTGTAGTAGGATTCTCCGCCTCTACACCATCGAAGCCATACTGCTGACTCGAGTTCTCATTTCTTGCAATGGATGTGTGCTTGACTGGACCATTATTGCGGGGCCTGTTCCGATTCTCGGGAGTGCGAGGCAGCACGGTGGCCCGCTGTCCGTCCGTAGGAATGCGGATCCCGGAAGGGCCAGCTGACTCTCCTTCCTGACCAGGCTGCTGGAGAGGAGTGCGGGAAGAGTATGCTTTGCCTGCTGAAGGTTGGCCTGTCTGAGTGGACTGCATCGTAGCACCCCTCCGTGCGTAGAGAATGTGGCGCTGCTCTTGACGGGCTTGTGGAAGTGTGCTCGTGGTGGAAACCGTCAAAATGTCGAGCGCCAGATTGAATGTTGAGAAAACTGCGTGTACGTATCGCGTAGAGAAGTTTGCTAGTCGTAGAAGCTTGTGGGTGGGGGAGGGATTAACTTCGAAAACTGAAGTGCAATCGAAGTGCGCGACGCGAGAATAGCAAGGCACGTCGTGCGGTCTAGCACGTGATGTCTGTTATCGCTCACTACATGAGTGCTCAGCACATACCATCGAGCGGTAAGTTGAGACTGTTGATTGAGGCAGAGATACTATGATTATCAGAAAATCGGGATCATCTTCAGAAGAGAATGTGGTAGTGTGCTCGTGAATCCGTCTTAGAGAACAGGAGGATGATGTCGGCGGCAGGTTGATCAATATGTGGCTGAGCTCGCGGGTGGCGCCTTGAGCTTGTTTGTCTCAATCTCCTACCAGTATCACACACGAGTATTTCATTCTTGCTCTGCAACAATTTCTACGGCACCTTGCGCAGCGTGCAGTATATTGCAGTATGCGGGCTCATCTAATAGTCGCGGCAGCGCTCCTAGTTGGGCACGCTACCGCTTTCCAGCTGCCCTTCAACATCCCATTCCTATCGAACAGCCATGGAAGCGTACCTTCCATAGACTCCCTTTCTGTCGCAAATCCTCCCAACAAGATTGCCATCATAGGTGCAGGTGCAGGCGGCTCGTCTGCGGCGTTCTGGATCGCGAAGGCGAAGCAGCGGTTCGGGTTGGACGTCGAAGTGGAGTCTGGACGTGTATGAGAGGAGTGACTACGTTGGCGGCCGTGCGTATTGATGCTTCAAGAAGTGAGTTACATGATGAAAGCTGAGTGAATGGGCCAGGCAGCACCGTGGTGTACCCCTACGACAGTAAGGAGCTACAGCCCATCGAGCTCAGCACATCCGTCTTCGTCGAGGCTAACAAGAATTTGTGGCGGGCTATAGGGGAGTTTGACATCGAGAAGATCGACTTCGGGAAAGACGACAACGTTATGGGGCTCTGGGATGGCTCGCAGATCCTGCTCACAGTCTGTGTTCATCCCCTGTATGATTCTGCACCCTCGTAATTAACTGACATGTCTACGGTACAGACGGGTGGCAAGGGCTTCTACACTGGTTGGCTAGACACAGTCAAGGTCGCCTGGAGGTACGGCTTCTCTGCTCACCAGCGCGCAAAGGCTACCGTGCAGTCAATGGTCAACACCTATCTCACGCTCTATGCGCCCTCCGCGCCGCGTTTCTCCAACATCACAATGCTCGCCGAAGAGCTTGACTGGACGCCCATCCTCACGCAAACGGCGGCCAAGTACTTGGATACGAAGGGCATCAACCAGCAGTTCACGCGCGAGCTCGTCGACGCGTTAACGCGCGTCAACTACGGGCAGGACGTCGACGCCATCCACGCACTTGAGGGCATATGCTCGATGGCCGCGGACGGTGCATCCAGTGTCAAGGGCGGAAACTTCCAGATATTCGAAGAGTTCGTGAAGTGGAGCAACGCTTCGGTGAATCTCGAAACCGCCGTCACCGCGCTGAAACACGACGAGGCGTCGGGTGCGTGGCTCCTGAGCACCGCCGACTCGCGCCAAGCGTATCGCGCGGTCATCCTCGCCACGCCATTCCACAGCACGAACATCTCGCTGTTCCCTGAGGCACTTGCGGAGTCATTTCCGGAACAGCCGTACGTGCGCCTGCATGTCACTCTCCTGAGTACACCCGCGCCCAGCCCAAACTCCGCTTACTTCGGACTCGGCGCCCACTCAGCGCCGACGACACTACTTACGACAGCGAACGCAGTACGCGAGGGCACGGGCGCGGAGCCTGAGTTCAACTCCCTGACGTATCGTGGGAAGGTGCGCGCGGCAGACGGCGGGCCATGGGCAGGCGAGGCCGGCGAGGAGTGGGTGGTGAAGATCTTCTCCAAGAAGAGGCTTACAGATGAGTGGCTGGAGAATACGTTTGGAAAATTCGGATGGGTGCTGCGCAAAGAGGTCAGTGATCAGCCAGATTGTCGTGTTGTTCGGTTCGCTCATAACGCTCTTCTCCTTGTGGGATGCGTACCTTGTGCTACCTCCGACCACGTCGTTCGCGCCGATCAAGGTCACGAAGGGCTTGTACTATGTGAACGCGTTCGAGCCGTGAGTCGTGAGTTGCCGCACGCACTTGCCCCATCTCGCATCATCCAACAAACGTTGCTTTTTACAGGTTCATCTCGACGATGGAAACCGAGACCATCGCGGCGCGCAACGTCGTCGACCTTCTCCTCCGTGACGAGTTCGGTGCTGCTGCGATCTGCCCCATCAAGCTCGTCGAGGAGATTGACATCGAGGAGCATACCGTCGTGCTGGAGGACGGTGAAGAGGCTGAGGTGTATGACGTGAAAGCGGACGTAGAGCAGGTGCCGGTGGAGGACAAGGACCCGAAGGGCTTCGTCCTAGGATGGGACTGTCAGACGGTGGCTGTTGTTGCGGTCGGATGCATCTGCACTGGACTGAATCTGTAGTAATGTATTCACTTATTTCTTGTCTCTCGTCTGGAATGTGCATAATTATTGTTTGCCCTGTGTCAATCTTACTCGTCGTGCATTTGGCCAGACTGTAACCGTTCTGCTTAGTACGATCGCGCGAGAGCATCTATAAAACAAAGCATCTGCATAAAGAAAAATAACAAGGCTTGCCCGCAACCAAGTAGCGAATTCTAGTACCGTTGAATATAGTATATTTTGTCGCCCCGCTTTAGGGCGCATCTAGCAGAACTGCACTCTGTGGTCACCAGCAATATGGCAAAACCCGCCTAGTTTGCCCTTCCAAGAAATGCGTCACTGAGTCTTGAACGCTGCTCTTCCCGTTACACAAAACACAACCTCCCAATCGCTCCGTCAACGGGTGGTTCACAGCGCGTCACCTACGTCGAGCACGTATCCTAGGGGAGCCGTGTAGAGGAGCTGTGATGTTCCCGGCCGCAGCCCATCGTGAGCTCCAGCTCAGGGCCGACGTGACTCCCAGCTCGCGTCCCAACAGGTAGTATTTCGCGCGTTGGCACATGTAGGAGATGTGGTGTGGAAGGTAGAGGTAGATCCCAGCAGTGAGGAGCGCGAACAGCGTCCAGAAGAAGCAGGCTGATGGACGCGAATCGAACGCGGAGAATCACATCAGAGAGCTTCAAATCAATGATATATGCACGTAACACGCACCAACAAGCACCTTCTTCCAGGGCTCCATCATCGACCGACGACAACGCGAAGGTCATCTCGAGCCACATGCGTCGCCGCCAGACAAACGCGCCCAGCGCGCTGCGTGGCGGTCGATAAGGCAACATGAACCCGAAAACCACGTCTAGCATCGTAGGCTCACGTTTCCATTCTGTACAGGACATCTCCGTGCGTGGCGGGGGGGCGCTGATCGACATGCTCGACTGTGGTTGCGGACGCGTCTGCGCGTACGTGGAGGGGGGCTGAGCCGAGAGGAAGATCGTTCCTTCCGTGGTATTTTTGCGCAGGTTGATGCTAGGTGTGAGCTCGAGGATCTGGGTAGGGCCTGATGCGTGGCGCAGGGGCATGGGTATTTCACGCAGACAGTGGGAAGTTGTTCAGGGCAGCCTGATATATAACGTTGTCTGCCATCTCTATGAAACGCGTCACCCAGGGGTTCGGACCGCAAACGATAAGAATCTTATAATATGAAACACAGAGCAATAATACGCTGGAAGAGACAGCCGTACGTGTGAGGTAGTGGAGTCGAGAGAAGAGCTAAGTCTAACATGAGGCTTAGTGTGGAATATGATATGGGTTAGAGCGGGCATCGCTGTCATCGGCTCACGTCCACAACAACTGTCAACTGAGCCCATACAACATGGCGGCGACTAGGTGGCAACGCACCATAGCCGGCGGAAATACTCGATCTAGCGCATCCCCGCAGTATAGATGTAGACCAATCCGCGATGATCTGCCTTGAGCAACCGAGGCACCACGGTACTCGTATCTCTAAGGTGTCCAGACTCTGGTATATGGAACCATAGCTATCGGTAGGGCATACACTGTGGCTGTTATTTTCCGTTGTCTGGTGCGACGCCTTGTCTGAAGATGCCTGAGTCCGCAGCGGTGAAACTTGTGAGGCTACAAGCGGAGGAGGGATGATGAGACTCGGTCGTACCTCTGGCTCGTGCAGCATTGTATGTAACTATTGCCTCGTCGTCAAGGAAAGTGTCTGGCGCATAAGCGGGACGTAATCTGAGCATGATCCTCAATACTTTCTCTGTCATTCGATGCGGATTATTGGTTCTTGCACCTAGCAGGTTCCGATCTGTTCCGATTCCAAATTCCAAATTCCAGAATGTTTATTTTGGCTATTGCTACGGCGGTGTCCTGCTCCACTTAAGTATGTCAGCCTTAAGCTGCCCAAACCCCCTTTTCGGTAGGTCTTGCCCACGCTGGCCACGTGCATGCGTCTCTCGTCCGGTTATGTAATGCGTTTTTTCTCAGCCACTCTGTTGCATTCCGCGGTACGCTCTTCGTCCTCACGACCTGTTGCATACTATACCGTTGACTTTCAGCCTCATACTGTTCTGATTGCCGTTTGTGTGCTATCCACCGTATGGCTTTGTCGATGTGACTGTTTGTGTACACTTTTCCTCCGGTCTGTCTCCTGAAACCTGACCTTCGCTCTTCAGTGTGTTCCGACGCCGTGATCGGTTTCCTGCTGTGCGGATTTATTCCCGGGATGGTCACCATAGAATATGGAACTGTGGTTGCATGGTTGCATCACTTTACTACTGGACGCTCGGTTGTCGGTGGTGGCACTTGACGAACGGATTCCGTTTTGACATCCAAGCTGCAGGCGCCTCTCGTCGTGCTAGGCTCCCGTTCTGTGCTAGCAATGCATCCAGCAGTGAAGTATCAATGCCAGCTTGACTGTGAGAAAGATGTGTCGACGTGGGACTACGGAGTACGTTCTATTGCTATTGATGTCTTTCGGGTGGCTATGCGACAGACCAGCACTGTCATCGGCAGATCCAGTGTTCTGGTGATACTCGACAGAGATGCGGACTTGAAACTGGGTAATCTTGACCTCTACACCAGTCGGAACGGCTGTGACGAAATGCTGGACTTATTCCTCGAGCAGGACGGCTACTGTCTCGAGTCAGTTCACTATGGTTCGGACCAACCTATGGACTCGGATGACTACCCCTGGCTAAACGAAGGAATCGAGTGCATGGCACGCTTCAAAACACCCCACAACAACATTGAAGTAAATGTGCAGCCGCACCGACTCTGCACTCTGACCACTATGCTTTTCCCGGTCAGACCTGTTGATAAATGCTGTCGGCACTGACAGTCTCGTCTTGGCGAGCCTCGGACTTGTCTTCCGTCGGTGGGGATTTTACTGTTCGAGGAGGTTCTGGAGCTTGGAGCGTATTGCAGTACTGAAGTATGCTGAACGAGGCCATGCCTTCGCACGTACAATAGCCGCATGGGAGCCGGGCTTGCCTCGTCACTGACACTACTGCTGCAGGAAACATTGCACTTTCGAAGATTTTGGCCCCCGACTCATCTTTGATGAACATCGCGGTGTCCCGAGAATGGGGCTGGTGTACGTGGCGTGGCGACTTGAGGATGCACGTTGTGGAACTAGCTGTACGACGGTCACGAAAGGCCCCGTCACGTTTTGTGGCACCAGGCAAGAAATCGATGACTGTTCCCAGGGCATTGTGTAATTCACGTACTTCTGATGTATCCCGTATCCCTCATCTGATCTGTTATTGGGAACCGGCGCTGCCGCGCCAACTCCACGCAAGTGTTGCCAGGTCTTCAGCCACCGCTCAGCATGGATATTGCTCACGTGCTCATGTGTAGAAACCTCCTTGGTGTCCCATTATCCTCGCTGTGGTGAAGGAGACCGGCAGCGCCATTGTCCTTATCTGGACAGAATAGAGCACTTGGCCATTGTGCGTTGGCCATTGTGCGTTTCACATATATTATCCGCCCGTCTCTTGGACATGCAGTCTTCTTGACCTGTGCACGGGCGGGTGATATCGACATGTGCGCAACACGTACCGTCGCATCTTGGTGTGTGCTATGTGGTTGAGACTTACTGATGGGCATTGATCTTGCTATTTAGGGGTGCCACGTTGCGCCCTGGGCGTTGCACCTTCTTGATTCCGCATGAATACGACTTACATGTTACGAATGCTGCTCTCGTCACGGGGGATTCTAGCACGGATACGAACACATCTGGCCGGACGTCTCTTTGGATGACTCCTTTGAACTCACCAAGCATCCCTTCTCCAGTACTCAACCCTCTGGATGCAAGTAAGAGAGTGATACTTTTTACATTGATTTCTCGGCAGGTAAGAATATCCTTCACGAGAACGGCCAGCACTGTGCCTATTGTGGTGCCATGCAGGTCGAGCATCTAACCCTGAACATAACGTTCGCGTCGAAGGAATATATTGCGCTTGAGATTATCGGAACGAAGTGAGCATCTATTACGTCATTGAGCCATCGCTCTGACGTTACTTTACTCCAGCTGTATTTGTCTATCCGGGAGCTATACGGGTGCGAGGTTTTCTTCAATGTTATCAAAGGATGGCTTGCTAACATAACCTTCATTAGTTGCATATAGCGAGAGCACTATCAGTGTATCCGCACCTCCTGTAACAGCAATTGCTCCGTGAGTTCCAGTGAAGTTGTATTTCATGCTTCTACTAATCTCGCATTTTGAAGCTCGGTGCCAACAATGGACAGCAATTCTCCACATGCTCGACCAGATCAGCGAGAGAGAAAACGCACCAGGGTGGATTTATTGATATCTGAGAACGACCGCAAAGCCCCCGTCGAGACCGTAGCTCGAACGTCAGCCTCTTCGCTGAGCAAAACGACCCCCCAGCATTTGGGGCGACGTTACATCGGTGCACCACCGCCATCGCTTTCGTCAAAAGCTGCCGGGAAACGCCCCGTGAGTATATTGCTCAGCCGGTAACTCGTCAGTTCTGATCTTGTTACAGCGGGTCGCCAGCTCAACCGAAGCTACTGATAATACGGATGGATTCGCTTCTGAATCTTCCGCTACAGCATCACCGATCACCACGCTCATCCCTTCGGTGAAGTTTCACCAGCCGGCCTCGAACCTCAATCCCAAAATGTCACAATCGCGTGAAGACATTACTCCTCCCGGTCCTTCCTCGATCAAGAACGATGCCATTACGATTAAGGATGTTGTTGTAATCAAGGATCATAAAATCGGCGAAGGACAACAGTCTGCAGCTCGCGGAGACGAAGTTGCACTTTGGTATCGTTTGCAATTGTCCGATGACGTGACCGTCGACTCTCGGATGCAGGGTTCACCGGTTTGTTTTCATTCTCATGATTGCTGCCATTCTGCTGACTGTTTGGTCGAGTTGGTGACCAGGTTGGGGAAAACCTTCATCCTTCCGGGTTTGTACAATACCGCGTGCACGTCCCAGATGTTTACCGCTGAATGATATGTTACACAGCAATTGACCAGGGCATTGTCGGTATGAAAACAGGAGGCGAGCGGCTCATCACGATCCCACCTGCGTTGGGATATGGCGACCGCCAGCATGGCGTGATCCCCCCAGACAGTACCTTGTTCTTTCGTAAGTCGTCTTCTTTGCAAGATGGGCACACGGACTTACAGTGCATTCTATTCATACATAGAATGCAAACTATTGAGCATCCGTCATCTTGATGCGGAATGAGCTTTATGTGTGGCGTGGTCTCATTATCTTTTTTTCTGGGACATGGCATGCTGTAGGTCGGCCGTTGAAGGCGAAATATGTCAGCCGATTTAATTGTGCATCAAAGTTTATTTATATCGCACACTTGCGCAATGATTAAGCAGTAGCAGCGCGTCTATGTAAGCACACTTCTCAAAGAATGGACACTGTTGTGATTGCTTCATCGCGGCGGTCTACGCCACTGTACATGAGCCAGGGGCTACGCCCGAGCAGGTCGATGGAAACCGCATTCACATATCTCTCACGCAAATATTCATCGACGAGTTGTGAGGACCCTTCGTCCAAATGCGCGCTCGCGGAGCTATCACCCGCTGAAGCCACATAGCCAGGTAATGGTGCGAAGACATACGGGAATGACTGAATACATGGCTATATAAGGGAGGCGTCAAGGATGTCGCGCGCAGGGTGGCGGGAAGCGCGCCAGATCTTCAGAGACATCCCCAACGTGACGTATGGATGTGAACAGGAAGGACGGAGGTACCGAACGCAGATGTGGACTGACTGCGAGGCTGTAGCATGTTGCGTCTTCTGTCGCAGGCCACCGTTTTTCTGTAGAGCTGAATGTACTCAATTGAAGCGATACAATATCACACAGAGCTTCGTGCTCCCGCACAGACAAGCATCTCACTCGTGTACGAATCATGCCGCAGCGCGGAGCACGGTAGGCATCACGGCAAGCGACGCATGGACGAACATCTCATTCGCTCACGAGAGGCAGGTCGGCGAGGACCGTATCATCTCCACCCTCCTGCGACGTGGTCAAAGGAACATGCAGAGCGAATGAAACATACATCAGGGCATGCTGAGAATGAACTAGTGCGGCTCAATGCTATGGAAGGAATGAAATCAGTGCCTAAATGATTGGTTGACTTGACCTGCGGCCAGTCGGAAGAAGCCCTTCCCCTCCAATCGATTCATTCTTGAAGATGGGTATCCGAGCACGACCTCAGATGAAGCTGATGCTGCTTCAAGCTGGAAGTGGCTGCGTTGAGTGATCTTTGACATGTGTAAATCTGCTAGCGACGCTAAGAGACGATGAGCTTAGAAGATGGAAATGCGTGAAATGACGCACGCCATTACCGTTTCTGAGTGCGTTAAGTCGATGGCTGGTTGAATTTCCAGAGACAGTCGCTCTTCTTCATCGAGGCCAGCTAACCATATTGCATCGTAGCAATTCCTAGGCAGCCCACTGACAGGCTTCCCAAATTGATCGCATCTACGTGAACCACGACGACGATACCGGGGAAATGCACCACGTTTGGGTTTGCCATCCACGGTGAACCTGCTGGACAAATGCATCCAATCAAAGACCTTAAGCCATGTCTCGAATTCTGCAGACCGCCAGCTCATTCTCGTGACGACATATCTGACCTTGCCTCGAGAATGGTCAGATTCGTCTCCGCTCATGGCCGTATGAGGGATCCTATCCCATAGGTCTTGAAATCGTGCTAGATGTGAATGTGCACCTACAGCATTTGACCGCCGCTCCCGCAGCTGTCCGAAAATCATGAGTATGCATGTACTGGTGATTTGCAACGCGATACTGACAGCTCGTCGCCTATGCTCTCGTTTTTCCTCAATTTCTCTATCAATGTCAACTTCTGAAGGCTCTTCACCACCGCGTAATTGCCTTCTATATTGTGAGCGCAGAGTAGCAAGATGGGTGGCGAACATGCATTCGATCTTCGATTTATCTTGACAATCGGAGACGCCGATGCTCATGAAATTTTCTGCGAATACACCAGCAGCCTGTTTGTTCCATCGAGATTTGAGTGATCCTGTCATTTGCAGGCGGAAGTTTCCCTTGGAAGGACCATCGTGCTTCTTCCGGTCGAATGCTTGCAAATCCTCCAGTGATGCAACAGGTAGCGGACTGTCTACGAAGTCACGGCCAAGCATTTGGCTCGCATGCATACGTATTTTTGCCTAGGAGTGAATCAGAGCTTATACGATTTCGAAGTCAGCGACGTACTCTCACCTGAAGTTCGAGAGTGGCAATATCACGATGGGATGTCTTCACACGCATGGAGTTCTGGCTCTTGCTCATTGCAGTCCGAGACGATATCACGGCTTCTTGATGCTCTCTATGGGATCCAGAATTGGAATCAAGGCATCCAAGGAGGACAGCGAGCATTGCCCGTAGGTCCTTTTTGGTTACCGTAGTGTTCTGAGCAGCATACATCAGAGAATGTGCTTATGAGGCATATTTTATATCTTACCGCATTAGGCCCAGACCAATGTCGCATAATCCTATCCTATCGCAGACCGTCATGCGCATTACTTCTCTGAGCTACCGAATCGCTCACCAGTTCATCCTTGCCAACTAATGCCTGATCTTTCTGTGATGATGCTTTCTTGCGCAGCGTCTGGACGACTTGATCGATGACTTCTCTCGAAGTCATCATGTCTCTGCCTGTTGTTATCTCGACGTCATGTTCAGCGTTGTCAGCCTCGCGATCAACCGCCATGTTAGAATGTTCGTCCAACCAGATCTGAGTGCTGCTGGGCTTCCAACCGAGGATGTGCATGCCTTCGGGAGCCCATGACTTCATCGGAAGCGATGCTGAGACAGTGGTGGCCGTTCGTTCAGATGTACGAATGGGGAATCCATTCCAATGCTCCTCAACCAACACAGATGGATGCTCTCCGAGCTTCAGCACGTGATGTTGAGAAGGAAACGTCACTGGGATGATGTCGACGTCCATTGCGCTTGAGGTGTCATCTCGTCCAAGATCAATAGTACTATCTGTTGTGATTGCTCTCCTGACGGCAGTGGATGAATGTGCCGCAAGGTCAGTGTAGCGTAGAGATGGGTCTTCGGACTGAACATCATTTACCACATGCCATGCAGGGCGCTTGGACGGATGCAAGTATGGTGGGGTGGGCGATTCAACCGCTGCTCCGTTCGGCATAGGAAAAGAAGACACCTTCCCAATGCGTGAGCTCCTTCCGAGGTTGCGCGCTTGATCTCTACGAGTGTTCTTCATCGTCGCAGACATGCCAGGCTTCTCAAAGAGCACCTCGCGTGGTCGAGAAGCCATGGAGAGGGCGACACTGTTCTCTTCAGTAATATTTCCTGCGTGTATGATAGGTTGCAGGCGAGAACCACGCGTCCATGGTGGATGTGCACTAGATGTGGGCCATTGTGGCCCACAATTGACGTCAGCAGTCAATGATGACTTGAGTAAACTGAGTTTCGTTCTGTTCTGTTATTGAGTGACCGATTCGGAATCAGTGGGAAGCTCTGAAGTCGGCAACAAACAGAGTCTCACATCACGCTCGCGATCATATTGTGAACCTACAGCGTCGGCGTTCCCTGTGTGGACCGAGGAAGTATCACCATCTGCGGTACTTGGACAATACCTAATAAAGTCCATATCCCGCTGTGTGATAGGAAACCCACCCCAATGCGAGTCATACCGCATTATTTCGGTGCCTGGAGGGTGAGGGACAGGAGGAATTGCCGTATCGCATCCGATGCGAGTCTCCGTCTGGTGGGCTGGTGGTTGATGATGCATTGGCAGACCCGGCCACCCTGGCCACCCTTGTTCCTGTCCACCAAAGCTATTTGTGAAAATGGGAGACATTCCGTTGCGAAAAGAGCTCGTTGAAGAAATTATGGGTGGAGTGATACTGAAGCCGGCCCCTCCTTGCATGAGTTCGATATTGGCGATGGGAGGTTCGTCTCGCCCGATAGTCTTCGATGTGCAATCCACGTCATCCATCTGAGGAAAGACCTGACCCAGATTGGCTGGTTCTCTCCTCGGACTAAAATCACCCGGAAAGCAATCGGTACGCTCGATGGGGACCTCAGGGTATACATTCGCTGCAGGCTCGCCATGAAGACAATGTATGGTGGTTAATAGCCTTTTGTGTACGTTGGCCATGGACTGTTCGTCTTGGATGACAGGCGCGCCCGACGCGGGAAAGCAGATGGAGTCATTCGCACATTCCGAACCATCTGGATCTGGAGCATCCATCTGTTCAGCGACCAAGTTTACCATGACCGCATGACGACGTACCTGTTTGCATGATGTGTACTTCTGATGCACACGCGTCTGAATCCATTTGCGGAGACCCTCCCTCGATTCCTTCTGTGACAGAGTCATGTCTTATCTGGAGAAAATCCTCGTTTCTTTGATAGTCATTGAACCCTGATGTCAGCCCAACTTCAATACGAGTGGCGCCGGAATCGATCGGCGGGATTGCCTCGGGCTGTGCGATAGCTGATTGGAGTGGCAGGATGAGGTCAGCGACCGCTGAATGAGCCGTAGACATGCATGTGTCTTGCTGATACACGAATGCTATGTCACCTCCAGCGCCGTGATCTTGCATAAGCAGTGGCATGAGTATACATTGCAAGGAATATAATCTGCTGAGCACGAACCACTTGTCTTAATGTCCTTGACGCCAATGTGTCCTTCAGATTGCTGACGGTCGTCCGGTAGAAGAGGAATTCCAGACCACGGCGTATTGATTTGAAGGTCATCTTGTTTAAGTGATAGTCCAGACCACGAAGTATTGACTTTGAGGTCTAGTTTCAGAAGCGAGATGCCAGAGGATGATGCATTGACTTCGTACTCAAGTTGCCGGAGTGGCATGCCACTCCAAGAACTGCTGGATCCTGACGCAATCATTTCGCCGCCCTCTGTGATGACTTCCTGAATGCTGCGCTCTGCTCCGCTGTGACAAGGGGACCCGAGTAATCTATCTTGGGGTCCTGTCTGTCGCGAAGCGACAGCCTCGCGCTCTTCGATCAAAGCGATATGTGAGGGACGGCATTCATGTGTATCCTCAGTGTGATCATTCTCCTCATGCTCTGCATTGGCGTTCTGAATGTTTTTGTCACTCTGATGGCGCGCGATCCATGAATCTTGTGTGATAGGGGCAACCATGAAGCCGTCTGATGCGGCAGTTCAACCCTAGGAAAAGATGAACTTAGCGAAGAAGCTTACCATGCTCGTCACCTATGCTCGCATCCGAGCTCTGCAGAGCATTCTGAACATCTGACGATATGGTCCGGTCCAGTGGCACACGTGCTAGCTCCAGACTGCTGCCGCTGCGAGAAGACCGACTTATCGACACAGCAGGGATTTCAAGAATTGTCTGGGCTATCCTATATGAAGGTGAGAACGGCTGGGAGTTCTGCTTTGAACTAGGGAGCATTTTAGCCGTGCTTCCTCTTTCGGCAACGTCTGCAGGAAGGTCTGAAAGTATTATCGTTACAATGAAATATCCGACTCTGCGCGCAAGAATCTCACGATTCTCTGTTTTTTCTGGAACACCGCACTGGGGATTCTGTCCCTGCTCAAGATCGCAGATCTCGGAATGTCGTTTGTCCTCAGCAATGCTGGTTTCGCAATGTTGGCAGGCATTGCCTTGATCTGGGCTTCGTGTGACATTGTCGTACGCTCGGCGTGATGCATGGGTCGCTGGACCATCAGATCTTTAGTCACAACTCTCAAACCAGGTAAATTATTAATCTTACGTATCACCGGGGGTAGCGAAAGAATTTCGGTGCTATGTTGGTGTTGCTCCAGCAAGAATTTGTTCATTTTGCTATGGTCCGGTTCCTGGTAGAGTTGTATGGTATCCAGAGCAGGAGCTGGGAGAATATTCTAATAAGCTCCACTCTGCGAAGTGGAGGATATTCACCGTTCGCAACACCGGATGAGTCGGGCCTGGCTGTGTCCGGTTGATCGTCGTTCTTCCGTTCATCTTTTTGCTCCTGAACGAGGCTCTGTTTCCTGGGAGCAGATGAGGGGCTGAGAGGTCGGGTGCCCTTACACGTGATGTGAGCTTGCGAGCTAGGCTCCGGCTCAGAAGGTGAACGGCGAACGTGCGCGGTTTGTCTTCCACGCAACTTCCTTTGTTTTCGGGGAGCTGGTGAAAGGCTGGGGGATCGGATGCGCTTACGCGTGATGCGAGCTTGCGAGCTAGGCTCCGGCTCAGAAGGTGAACGGCGAACGTGCGCGGTTTGTCTTCTGCGCAACCTCCTTTGTTTTCGGGGAGCTGGTGAAAGGCTGGGAGAACGGACGCGTTTGCGTGTGATGCGAGCTTGCTGGCTAGGTTCCGGCTCAGAAGGCGAACAACGAACGCGCGCAGCTTATCTTCCACGCAATTGCCTCCATTTCTTGGCAGGTGGAGCAATGCTAGACGGTTGGGCCTGCGCACGCGTTGTGCTAATGGACGAATGTTGAGATGAATGTTGAGACTGCATCAATCACAAGCAAGAAGCTGCGGATGCAAGCTAGCGCATAAGGACCTCATACGGATCCGATGGGACAGGCTTAAATGTCAATCGTTAGCTCATTGTTAGCTGCAGCAGGAAGACAATGAGTCTCCATCCGTGGGACAATACAGCACCTTCGGGGATCCTACGACTTTCAGATGGACCCGATTGAAAACCAGACTTTTGATTGGAAACTTCGTTGTTCGCCGCAGCAGGCAGACAATGAGTCACCATCTGTGGGGATCAATGCAACACGATCAATACAACACTGTATGAGACTCCTACGCCTTTTCAAGTGTCCCGCAGCGCCCATCTCAATTATGGTAGTTGGCTAGTCCAGCGTCCCGTATCTCCGCCGGTATCCGTCTGAGAGCCGTCTGAGAGATATTCAGTCAGGTCGGCAAGGAGGAGAGGCTACGATTTATGTCGACAGATCAAAGATGAGGAGATTGATACTGCCATCTGGGCATCGCTCACAACCTACGACGGTGCGTGAATGAACCATTATGCTTCAATTTGATGGGCATTTTGACGCTGACCGTGATAGAGTTTGTGGATTGGAGCTCCTCGTTTAACGTCGTATGTTTGGCGATGAGATCCCCGAAAAGAAATGCACCGTGACCCATTTCATTAGCGTTTGCGGGCCTGTTCAATCCATTGAGAGGATAGGGAGGTCAAACTAAGAATTGGACGTACCATATGCCAGTTCAAAAATCTACGAGCTCCGCGTTGCAACGTTAACCGAGATCATGTGACCACGCTCGACATCCTGCGTGCTCTGGTCAATGCCCTCCATTCTCAATCTCAAATTTAAAATCGGTTTCTCTCATCCACACAGGCGGGAGATTCAGGACTCAGCGCTCAGCTCTCACCGATCATCCATCACAATTAGGGCAACAAGAGCTTTGTTTCATGCAGTGATCTTAGCGATGTGGACTGGTTGACGATGACCTGGAAGGTAAGCCTGTACTGGCCACTATTTCATGTCGTCTTCACCAAGGTCGCTACAGGTGCCAACATTATACGAGCATCTCTGGGTCTCCGACATTAGTTCTGCTGCAATAGCTTGTACTTGCATACCGAATGTGTTCGTGCTTTTCAAGCCTCAAAATCTGCATTTCTCTCGATGGCGATATCACGGTGACCAACGATGGTGAAACAGTATTGAGTCAAATGGAGGTTGAGCACCCGATTTGGAAGCTTTTGGTGCAGCTGTGGAAGAGTCAGGATGATGAAATCGGGGACAGCACGACCGGTGTTGTCGGTGAGTGTGGTTTTCATACTCTCGAGGAAGCTCTGTTGATGCTAGTCTAGCCTTTGCTGGCGTGCTACTTGAGCAGAGTGAAGGGCTGCTTGACCGGGGAATCCTTCCCATCTGGATCGTGGACGGGCTCGATAAGGCTTGTGCTGTCGCAGTTGAGCACCTGAATTTTTTTTTCGACACCGTTAAGTTCTCCCTATTTGACACGTCAAATATTGTCAGGACCACGCAACAACTCTGGGCAGCAATATGTTCGTCTCATCTCCTGAGTCTACAAGTATTGTTCGACTGACGTCCTACGCAGTGGAGAATGAGAGGTTTGCTGAGATCGCTGTAGATGCTGTCTTGTCCGTCGTCGAATTCGAGCGCAAAGACATGCCCTTCGACCTCATCAAGGTCGACGGTGGAGTTGGTGGGTCGCTAGCCGACACGACGCTCATTTAGGGCGTGCTTTTCTAAAAACATGTCGCATCCATCCACACATGCCGCACACCGAACCAGATGCGATATCGCCATCCTCACATGTCCGTTTGAGCCGCCACGACCAAAGACGAAGTACAAGCTGGACGTCGCCTCTGTCGAGGAGCACCGGCGTCTGCGAGAGTACGAGCGGACAAGCTCGTCAAGGACATCGGCGCAACTTTGGTGATTTGTCAACGATCTGCCCGCAGTGCGATGGGTAGGAGGTCTGTAGCTCAATGCTATTGCCAACAATGGATGTATTATGCCAAGATTCGAGGATCTCACACCGGAGAAGCTCGGCCGTGCAGGCATCGTCCGCGAAGTTTCATTTGGCACAATGTATGACAAGATACTTGTCATCGAGAAGTGTGCAGACTCCCGCACAGTAACGATCTTCGAAAGGGGCAGCAACAAGATGGTATGTCTAAGACTTATCCAATGAAATATCTTTTCTGAGTAAAATGTGGCTAGATCGTCGCCAAGGGCAAGTGCGCCCTGCATGACGCGCTCGAGGTGGTGAGGAACATGATCATTGACAATCGGGTTATCTATGGTGGAGGTGCGATATTGCTAGCACACCCTGTATAGCCAGGCCTGCAGTGACGAGCTCGGTTATTCTATGAATCGTGAATCATGCATGCAACGAATCAGAGATGAGTGCGAAACGAACAAAATTGACCACCATTCAGTCAGCGAAATTATACAGCATATTTGGATGATGGTCTACAATACACATGCTGACTAGTCCTTCAACTCCTGTTTGATAACGAACATCCGGTCACCCTCTGCCTTTGTTGTGATTTCTGCGAGGCCACTAATGCTTGCGAGCTCTTGTGCACTGCGGCCCTTGGCGAGGACGATGTACATCTCGAGGCCGTCACCGATCTCGACATGTCGCTCTGTCGCACTCGTGAATGAGTCGATCACCATGGCAAGCGGAAGATGTGCGGGATGCGTCATGCTGGGAGCAGCGAGCTTGTTCTTAAAGTAGATCTGCACATAGATTGAACGTTATTAGCGAACGTGAAACTGGCGAGTATATACAGTGAGCCACAAAACTGTTGCAATGTTTGCAACAGTTGCATTGTTTGGCTTATATCTCGGAAACCAAAATAGTCAAATATGCAAACATATATATCGTTAGAAAGCCTATGATATGAGCTTTCAAATGGCACTTGGATAAAGTAAATCGGCCTTCTGGTTGGTGAGATACAAAATATTCTTTACAAAAGATGCATTGCAACAGTTTTGTGGCTGACAATTTTAGATATAAAAATCCCCAATTTCAGTACTTTGTGTACCCTCCCTTTGCCCTCAACACAGCTTTAACCCTGTCTGGCATACTGT